CTTGCACAAGCCACACTTGTGATTTAAATTGTATAACTACTTTGATAAGTATACTCTATGATTTGATGCTGAGCTATACAAAAATTTGCGAACATTTCTGAAATGAGTTATCGTCGAGCATTTAACTCAGCGGTCGTATTGCACACCTTGCGCGCTACTTGACGACTTGTAAGATCAGAATCTGTTCATTTTCAATAATTTTCCGTTGCATACTTGCCTTTCTTAACTTGGTTGGATATCTATCACTTATAAGTGCATATTTGTATAGTCTATGGTGCTGCAAAAGTTTCTACTGACAAAGTTAGGGTGTGACGATTGCCGTGCTGGGTGGAGCCTCATATATCAAGTTAAAAATTCGAGTGTATATACCCTTCTTTTAAGAAATCTTCCAATTGCTGACTGCTCAAACATTGGTTCCAGAGATTACGTCCATACTCTTGAGAAGCAATCCAGCTAATCCCTATTCTTCACAGCTATCAACGATTGTTTTCTTTTCTCAGCCCTTAATTAAGTGTTGCATAATACACGACGCCGATTACCGGCCTACCACCTGCTGAACGGATGCCATCCGCGAGAGTAAATAGCGAAGATTCGTCGCTGACCTCGGTCAGGGTCAGATGTCGCTTATTATGATACTTTTGTGATTTTTCTGAATAGGCAACGAACTTTGGCTAGAGTAAATTAGAGCTAATTGGCTCATTGCAGAGACATTATTATATTGGACCAATGTTTGAAGGGTTTAAAAGAATGGTGCAAAAATTTTGCTTATCACCGCAGTCTCTGAATGGAAAGGTTCTGATTCCTACATTTTCGGAATTGCTCTGATTGTAAGCGTGCTAGATCTTCTCTTAAAGCTCAGCGCTCTCTAAAATGGTAACAATGTCTACAATAGAGTTTTTCAAAGAATGCTGCTTCGTCGCAATTTTCGGATCAGCATTAGGAAAAGAACTTAGTGCTTTGATTTAGGTTTTCCGAACATCCGAGGCATATATTAGTGCTATCATAAGGAAATATGTAGCTTTGGAGCTCCATCATTCAAATTCATCGATAACAGTGTTTGTAATTCTATTCTATTTTATTTTTTCCTGATAAGTGAGAGGTGAAGGAAAAGAAAATCCATAAGAGTAAAGGCAATTTTAAGTTTGATTCATTTCTCTTTCTTCTTTTCACTTGTACCCAACATACAGGAACCATGAGCCTTTCTGTAGGCTTTTCATTATGAATGGAAGGCCAATAAACTTCTGCAATGAAACTATCATTTTATGTCAGTATACCATGTTTCAAGTGTCATGTTAATGATTCTTTAGAATGTTCTGATCTCAGCTGCAAGCTTCAGTGTATTCAAAGAGTTATAATAATAGCCTTAATTATTTTTGACCCTGAGAGATTTCTTACAAGTAGTTTGTTTATTGTGAAACTCAAAAATCTTCTTGGTCATTCAGTAAGAAAAATCTTTGCTCAATTATGTAGTTTAAACACAAACTCGAACCACATTTGACTTGCTATCCATTTTTGCCTTCCGCTTCCTGCGCCTGCCAGTGCTATAATCATGCACATTCTAGAAGACCTAAAATTCCTTGTTTTCCACCAACAACTCTTCGAATATCTTTTCTTTGTGCACAGAACCAAATACTTCGTCACTGCAAATTTGTGGCGCTGTTTTGCGCATCTTTTGGAATTAGCATTTGGCCGTGGCGAACGCAACACGTCGGCCGCATCAAAAACCTTTCAGTTGTAAGTTTTACAGCTTCTTCCCTTTTTGGCATTTTGCCAGAAACCCACTGTGTCTTCGAAGAGAATATCATTCTTGTTTATTTCACTCGAAGATACGATGCTTCCCTTTTTTGGCTTCGAAAATTACTAGTAGAAAAAAAAGCTACAGAAATTTCACTTTCAAACGCATCTCTTTTTTGTATGGCAGTTCGACCACGTAGGCTTGAAAAACTTTAGAACTTGTTTTATTGACTTACATTCTCTTCGAGGCAGTCATCTAAAATAGCTATTGTTGTCAAAATTCGCCCAAATTCAATTGAAGTACGTCATGAAATCAAGTTTTCGAGAGTGCTCTAGAACGTTTTCTAGATCTAATAGATTCCGGCTGTTTGACGCACCCCGGGTAATTGCTTAATTGCAGATGAAACATTCAGTCTGAAAATCAGAGCAGAAAACGATTCACGTTTTCTGTTGCATTCACATTTCCACGTTTTTGTTTCCAGTGAAATCTTACCTCAAAGCGCAGAGGAAAGAAAACGAACGTATACCATTTAAAGTTGAGAAAATTCATAATTTTCTCGAAAACAGATTCTTCTAGGTCTATAATGAATTTGTGAATCTATAGCTTACTCATTTCCACTTCTCTCTTCTCTTTTACTTTCTTTTCTTCCTTCTTTTTCCCTCCCTCACCCCTCTCTTGTTGCATAGGGTAATAATAAGATGTACTACGAATAATATGTTTCATGAATAATAAATAAAATAACTAACAGTGATAGAATATGATAATAACAGATCTTTGGCGAGAGTGCGTAATAGTAATTAGTAAAATAATAATGATCGAAAAGAGTTAAGTGTGTGAAAAAGTGGCTGCTCTCCGAGAATGGGTTGCGAAATTTTTAAAAAAGAATACTGCACTTTTCCTTTTTCCTCAAATTATCAATGTCATAAGCTCGCAAAGGAAATATCCTTATAGTTTTTTTTTATAAAAGTGTGATTAACGCCAATTTCATTCATTTTCTCCCCTCCTCCCCCCGCCCCCCTCCGCCTCGAAAATACTTTGACCGGCTCTGATAAAACATCATATTTTATAGATTTGCTGAGATAATATATGTATTCAAGGTCCAAATTTTGATCGGCAATAACTCTCTTCCCACTGCGTCTTTTCCTTAGCTTTGAGTACCATTCAGTAAAGAGGCTTCAACTTGAATCTACGATATCGGGCGAATCACCCACCGCCCTTTATTACTGTAGGGCTACGGTATGAACTTTGAATCGAGTTTTGAGTCACCGGTGGCTACATATTGCCCCAGAATAGATACTCAATGGGCCGAAAACCCTATCATTAGGTTAAACTGGATCGCTGATTATTGATATAACACTTTACCGCAAGGCTCTTCCCATGAGTTATGCCAAGTAGTCCGCAACGACTACCTTCTGCTTTCTTTGTGCTTTCGAAAATGTTGATTGGACTATTTAAATTTTTAAAATATTCATAAATAGTTAACTGATAGAGTCAGCATGTCTGAAAATGCTCTTCATAGCTTTCCAGATTTTTTTTGGAACTTCTTGTATGCTGCCGTATGTATGCTGAAAGTGCCTACCGTACTCCTACAGTAACGAAGGGCGATAGGTGACACGCTCCATACTGTAATTCACTTATAAGTTGAAGTCTTTTCTACTGAATGTACTTAAAGCTGAGAGACTTAGTGGGAAAAGAGTTATCAACGATCAAGAAGTGTATACTTACATTTGGGACACCCTGTAATTGCATACTTCTGGGAAATGAGTGGTTAGAGTTCAGACCGGCTGATTACAAACTTTTCTACGCTTGGTTTTGTATTAAGGTACTTAAAGTGATTCCCTTCGCTATTTTTGCCCCCCCCCCTCCCTGCTTCGCTTCCCTCCTTACTCATTAATAGTAAAGGGTGTTTAGTACAAGCGGGTGAGAAGCACTACTAATGGTCGTAGTGCTGCGCACCTCATCGTCGCGTCTTCAATCAAGCGTCGACGAGAATTTGACAGCCGCCTTTTTAATATGTCCACCCAGCCGCTCAATAAGCAAGTGCCCATTCTCACTTTCGCGATCGTCAACATTCAACCCCGTCCCCTGTCCCCGCGGGTCCACTGGGGGAACTGAGCGATTGCGCTTTTTGTGCACTACTTTGTTTGCCAAGGACAAAGCCGAAACTTCACACCGATCCTGCTCATCTGTTGATATTTCTCACAGTAGGCGTGAGAAATTCCGGAAATCTGACTAGCTATTTAGACGTCTCAAAATCGCCAAAATCTAGGAGAGCCAGCTGGATCGCGATAAAGCTGGACTCATCATAAACTCGTTTGTTTTCTCAAACCGAGATTGAACTAGGTGATACAGAAAGGCTAGGTTGTGTACTGCACCGAACACCTCTTTCATGAGCATATAATACGTGTTGAGATTGCAAATGTTTGTTTTCACAGACTTGGACACTATAAGTTTTAGAGGAAGCAAGGTTTTGTATCCTGCAATTCCACATGACAGACTGATAACTTGGTTCTGTATTTATTTTCCTCCGATTTGAAATTGTTTCTCCTTATCCTTATCATATTCATTCTGAGTTTCGAGAACAGCTGACATCCAATTAGTTTTATTTCTTTTTTTCTCGATACCTTCGAGTGTAGTTATAAATAAATAAGTAAACAAATAAATAAATATTTTTCTACACTTTGCACTTGATTTGTAAGAATTATTGCAATCAACCTTTAGGAATGTTCTTCTCAAATGAAACGAAAGGTCTTGTTGAACAAACTCGCATCATTATTTGTATTTTTACCCATTTTTATAACTTATTTATTTATTTGTTTATTGAATGCATCCTTGATGCACTAAAGGAATATGGTTATTACAAACAAGAAAACATCAAGTAACACAATGTCAAGATAAAATCATATGCACTTCCAGTGGTCGTTTTGCTATCAGTTATAGGGGACATTTCGAGTCAAATGTGGTGCCTTTTCGAGGTACATGTGCATTTGTAAAGAAAAAAACGGATAAACTTCCGCTCATAATAACTTCCGCTTATAATGTAATTTTTACTTATATTTCGCGAGGAATGCATGTGACAATAAATGAGAAACCCAGCCCTAAACGCGAAAACTTTACCTCATATGTATTTTTATATGCACATTCTAGAAAAGAAACTTTATCGTTTTACTTGAGCGGTGCATTTATCTTCTTTGCTTTTTACTGCGCCATCTTCGACATTGCATTTACACTTCAGTTTTTAATCTGAGAAAAAATAGAATTTTCAGGCATGCTATGCTTTCTTGAATAGAACGAGATGCGATCGAGACGATGAATTTGACTGGAATATTGTTGCGTGAGTTGCATTATTTCTTGAACAAGCAACGATGAGCAAAATGAAGTACAAAGCAAAAAATTACACTGTTTATGATTCTGCCTGATTAGATAATCTACTTGACTTTTGCTATTTTTTGAATTTTCAATGGATGATCCTGTTTTTTCAACGCTGTGAGTCTTACGACCATTGGAGATATAATACAGGTCTCAAAAAATGTGCACTCTGTTTGATCATTAATAACTTTCTTACTTTGACGTCTTTGCCGAGCTTAATGCACCATTCTCTAGGCGGGGTTGTACTCAGATTTACAGTATGGAGCGAATCACCAATCGCTCTTCATTTCTGTAGGATTACGGTATGAAGTTTCAGCATGTAGCGCCAGTGTGGAATCGGCCTTTTGAAGAAAAAAATTCCAAAACGCCTGGAAACTTATGCAGCAAGGTTTTTAAGCGTGCTGATTTCACTATACAACTTCTTACCAGTTTTTTGAGCATTTAAGTGGTGTAGTTACATTTCTGACTAACATTGGAGGTTGTTACCCTAAATCTGAAATAACTTACAAAAGAAGCATTACAGTAGAGTGCAAACTTCATATTCAAAATCAGCGACTTCGATTAGCCGAGTGCGAGAGTTTCTGGCTTGTTTGGTTATTTTGAGTTAAAATATTGCTTGCAATGATCTAAAAGTCTTCTCGAAGTTCCTGCGGTAATCCTATAGTAACGAAGAAAAGTCGAAGATTTGTTCCGTGCTGTAGATCAAAGTTGAACCTCTAGCTCTACAGAATGGTACCTCAAGCTCGGCGAAAGACGTTCAAGCGAGAGAGTTATTGGCGACCAAACAGTGTACACATTTTTTGGAACACCCTGTGTAGTCGCTTTTTTTCTTTCGTTCACGTTGACAGGGCAATGAAATTTCTTATACAAAAATAACCCTATCGCAGGTGTTAGAAACTTATTTTTAGAAGTTTTGCTCTGTTGATTATTGTTGTGAGATTATAAAGCTCTTTCCTATAATAAACAGGAGAATTTGTCTGCATACTTCAGCAAAATGAATGTTCGAGTTACGACCTTACTATCTCTTACAAAACGTTTGAGTAACTTTATTTTATAGAGCAAATCGAGTAAATATGATACTTTCATTATGATCGCTCATTCCCACCGTCATCCAAGCATTTGAATTGGTGGTTTTAAAGCGTAGGGTAGAGGACAATGTTTTGCCAATAGTCTCAATCGCGGGACAGCTAATGAGTTATAATGCTGAAGGTGATATTTGTTGCAGATGTCCGCGGAGAGCCATTGCTTTCGGTAACACATTGCCCTTCACCCGTTGTTTTTACAATGGTGAAAAAGCATACGATAGACTAGGTTGATTATGAATGGAACTTTACAGTACTTTTCGTGCCTCTTCTCTCTGCGCATTGTCCAAGCCAAATCAGTGCTCGGATACAAGAATGCGTACGGCCTGTCGCTGACTACGCCAAGCTACTCAACACTAATCAGGTGAGATCCGTAAGATCTCCAGTAAAAATCTAGAACGGGTTATTTGTTCAGGACAAACCTCATGGGAGCAAATCCGAGATTGGCAGCGCCTTTTCACTGCCAAACATGGGTGGACGAGTGTTCAATGAACTTTGCAAGTCAGTGTCCTTTTTGCAGAGTTGTCAACTAAATCAAAATAACCAAAAATGATCATAAACCTCATGGGAACATGTGGAACTTGCACAGCATTACAGTGATGCATAAAAAATACAAAGCCATCATTTCTTAAGAAATGTGTGTGGCCGAATTTTCCAATCCTTTCGTCAGTGCTCCCTAACCCCTCGGGAAAATACAGAAGAAAAACTTTTGCTGCATTACGTGAATAAAGTAGTAGAGCCACAATTTTGCGAAAATTTATTTTCAGAAATACCAAGGCTATTTCAAGCTTTTGGTGCTGCATCCTCAAGAAAAAAAATTCGACGATATTGCAGCTGCTGTATGTAACAGAATGAGCTAATAGTAAATTATGTATTCTAATATCCTTCTCCTTCAGCTCTGGTTATGGTAAAAAACACACTTTATAAAATCGATCGAAAGTATTGACTTTCTTTCTTGACACATCGTAAATCACTCGACCAAAATGGCGTTGACTTCAGCATTATTAGTAGTAGATCACATTTTATAAAATAGCTGTTTGATTAACCAGCAATACCAGTTTTAGAAAGCACGTTACTGAAAAAAACGTTGATAAAACCAATAGTTATTTGAACACGGTGATTCTGAAACCGTCTAGAAAATTTCAAAATTGGAGCTTTTTGAATTCTGTTCAGTCAAGAAGAAATAGTTCCAGATGTCATATTGCGGATATTGCTGTAAGAAGAAAAAAACGTGACATATTTAAGCACTAACTATAAGTAAGGATGATATGAAATTTTGAGTTATTCCAAATCTGGAATACATAAAACAGTCGAAAACTGCGGCTAGTGCACGGAAGACTGTGTTCAGAATTATTTCCAAATTTGCAGTCTTTGAGCTAACAATAAGCGATTTAGAAATAGTCACGCTGTAGTAATCCTTCACCAGTTTCGGTTCTCAAAATATATCATAATTAACAATTTGAACACATTTGTGAGGATCCTATTTTGTTTCTTTCATGGAGAACGTAAAACTAGAGAGCTCGAAGAAGTTCCGAGATGAATAAACCTATCTCAAACATTTCCTTGAGATTTCAAAAGTGCATATGATGGTGGATTAGACTGATGGATACGTTGCCAAAATCTAACCTTGGATCGCCCTTGAACGACCGCCCTTGGGCCATAGCAACTATTGCTACTCACCTGTTACTAGACATAGCTTATTTTTCTACTAGATTCTGTCACTGCATTCCTGGGTAGTAACCTCTGATTTTACTGAAGCTGGAGAGAGCCTCAAGCCCTTAGTGAGACTTCGGATTGTGTGTTTCGGTCCTGATCATGGGTCAAATTCTTGTTCCTTTGGTACTTTCGGTACCAAACGAATCTTTGGTAACGAAGACCTCCATTACCTTCTTTTCTCTCTTTTTGCACATTCAGCGTCTACTATGTAAGGAACAATAACAAAAAATTCGATGCTCTTTTTCATAAAAGATTTTGTATCTCTTTGATCATAGCGCAAAAGGAATAGGGACTCTCAGTAAAATGACTAAGCAAAATCTTATATCTACCATCCATCATCCCAGAATAAATGACAGAATGGCAAAAAATGTTGAGAGCTGTTCGTTTTCCGTTGCTGCTCTTGAGCGGAAACCCATAGGCCTTATTGATGAGGCGTACTACTAAAGCTCTACTTCCTTTTCATTTCACTACTATCGTAAAGTTAGCTGGCTACTCTTTGAGGGGGTCTATAGTGTTAGTTCTGCGTGGACAATAGAGCTCAAATGGACCGGCTGTGCATACGATGAGCTGATGGCTTGAGTGACTGCAAGAGACTTCAACCATATGAACTCGTTGGATTAATAAAGGCACTATATTATTAAAAATCTTGAATGGGAAATTACTAAAAGGTCAATCGAGCTTGATTTTAGCAAGCTTTTTTCTTATTCGATGCAAAGAAATGCTTTTTTAGCAATTTTTTTACCTGCAAAGCTTGAAGTTTTGCCTCCGGATCACTATGTCGCATTGTAAGGAAAGAAAGGCTCATCGAGATTTGGAGAAAAAACGAAAAAAAGGAAAAGAAAAGAGAATAAGAAGATGAGGCTACTTTCGCAAACTTAGCTACCATAGGGGCCTTTGTCACATCTTTTGTAAATATTCCACATCCTTACTGATTTTTTTCAAAACCCTCCTAGACTGACATTTTTGCACATGACTTTTAGTTCTGCTCTACAAGGGGTTTTAATAGATTTCAAGGTTAAGCTTATGCTGTACCAGACTTTTCTTTTTACAACTCACAGTAATTATCCACAACCTGCAGCTCTACGAAAACTTCCATGTTAATGTTGTAACTGTACGAACTTGAATTGTTGTGATATTCAACCTTTCAAATTTTGTCAAGCAAAGAAATTGTGAGTTTTGGTCATATTTTGTGCACATTAATCATCAATCTCCTATTGTTATATTTCATTTCAATCAAGCGTACTGAAAAAAGTTGCCAGGTTGTTTTGTAAGGCTTCGAAGTATGCAGCATTTAGTTTTCTAGGGTTTTATACCCTGTTAGCAAGCGAAAATGAGTTAATGGCAAAAGATATATTTGGGATCAAAAAAAAAAATCCTCCATCAAAAACGAAAGATTTTTCCGGTTTCGAACATGTTTGTTCAATGCGCCATCTAAAACACTTATTGTTAGTTCGTCGAGGCTTACTTATGTTAGTTATGTTGGAGGATAAAGCAAATGTTCAAAGTAGATATGGTTCCATATTGATCATAATTGAGTTTAAATGATATTGGTATTAGAAGTTCAATTGCTTTTTTGATTGGACGATGCAATGCTCTCTGAAGATCGGTTTCAAATCCGGCATCAGCGCATCACAGTATAAAAGTGGTAGCAAAAAATATTTTAAATCATACACTGATATTTTTTCAGGTTGATAGCAAAGTTCAATGTTTGCGTTCGCGAACATCGTGCGCAATGTCCACGACATGTGACTATAAGCCTTATCGACTCCTCCTATGGTTACTTATGCAACGAAGGATATAATAGTTAGTCACTACTACTTTATTATAAAAAAAAGAAAATTAATGAGAGTAGTATGGCTCTGCATACTTGTCACATAAAACTACTCTAACCCACATCCTGTCGCCGGCCATTATGACAATCAATGCGCTGCCAAGTTTTTTACTGCGATCATAAATTTTGTCGTGATTTCGGGAATAATGGGAGATTTGTCGCAGTTCTCGGCTATGAGCCTGCTCATAGTATACTTGCAGCTTTTATGGAATCAGCCGAGTGCCTCATGGAGCTGGATAGAAAGCCAGCGGTCAAGCGATGCCATGACGAGACACTAGTAGAGATTGAAACGGCCAACACAGAGACGGGGATCGCAATGGCGGCAAAACTCGAGCGGATGTGTGGGTGAGTAATCGTAATCTTAATCCTTTTCAAGCTTTTCAGAGTTACCCTTATCATACGAATTGGTAATGTGTACAGAGCTTCTAAAGAACGTCTATATGATGCATCATATAAATTTGCAGTAAACGACTCAACAAATCTTTCACAAAGTGGCGGAGCTAGAGGAGTCGCAAAATGTTAAGACATGGCCTACATTTTGAAAAAGTGTGGACGACTTGTTTTCATTTTTAAACGTTGAATACAATCTGTGGAGATTTGAGTAGCTTTAAAAAAATCTGTACGGCTTCAGTACTTCCGTTTTCCCGAAATTTGCGGATTTTTTAGGAAGTATCTCAAAAATTTTTGCGTTCAAAAAATTATCTAACTGTGAAAAGTCAAACCTTTAGGCTTCGTTGAAAGTGCCTAAAACCTAACGTCTCATATGGATTGTGAAGTTTAGAAATGTAATCAATCAAAAACCCACTAGAAATCTGTTTTCACCAAATGCTTTGCGGCAAGGGTAGGGTAAGTATGTATACATTGTTCCATTTGCTCTGTCGATTACCACTTGCCGCATATCCGCCTAAATTGACAGGTAATACATTTTCTCACAAAATCTTCCTTTTCGTGTAAAATGTGGAGCTACAAACGCGACTCAAATGCAGCACTTGTGTGTTTCATCCTGAAGTGTAATATCTGGAAAGTTTTGAGCAGGAATTCAATTAATAACAGTCCTATCATCGCAAAAATTAGTGTTTTTCAGAGCACTGAACTTCTTCGCTGGTTGTGTGAAAACCCCTATCAAGCACGACTGCGGGTCTTCAGCGTGGCAAGTGATATACAGAGTGCTCAAGGACACCACCAATACCCTCATGCCTGGATGTCAGTTTACCGGCGCCTCAGCCCGTCTCATCTCCTCCGAGACCGAGGAACTCCACACTCTACCCATTACTTCAACACCTCACTACATACCGGAACCGCCACCCACCACGACCCCGTTCGTCTACGTTGAAGAGTTGACCTACCCTCCCATATCCTCATCAGCCTCCGATAACTCTAGGAAAGGCATGAAGAAGAATATCGTGAGCGAAGAGCTCGCGCTATTAAATTCCAGCTCTCAAATGACTATCTGCTTCCTGTTGTTCATTGTGATGTTTTGCTGAGTTAGCCATGTCGATATGGTCATGTCCTACGTGTATCTGTATATTACTCACTGTATGTTGTGTGATAAATCCTCTGTTGTATATGCACATAAAGTTAGTAAATCTTTTGATCTTCAAATGGTTGAAAATGACAGAAATTAGCAAGTGTGATCAAAGAAGTGATAAGTAAATGTCTGCTAGATTTCCCTTATTTTACATTCTTTGTTCTTATAATAGCAGAGAGGAAGATGCAGTGATTGTGGTAGAACCAAATAAGATCCGGATGAAATATCAGGTTGGTCACTGAGTCTTGCAGGAGATCCAAATTTCTTATCTCTTTAGTGTCAATGAATTAACTAAAGTTAGTATTTTCGTATGCTGGACAAAGCATAATTTTTCCGCGTTAAAAAATTCTAAAGCTTTGACCTATGTCCACCTAATCGATTGAGAAAGATTCATATTGATAGGATTCTACAAATGTTGTGATTCCAAAATTCTTTTTTCAATGATTCAGTTTTTTGGCTTTTTATGAATTCTCTAACATGTACTGTAGCAGTGCAAAGCAATTGTTATATGTAACAAAACGTCTATAGTAAGAATCTGGATAAATCTGCTTTCAAAACGATTATATATTTTTTTGGTGCTAGGTTCATGAGCCAACCCAACAATTTAAGGTATGTGTGATATTGCGGTTACGTTTGCCTGTCAATCGCTCGGGCAGTCAGCATTGTTTGTGTGTCGGACTCCCCAAAAATCTCTTGAATTTCATTGTTTAGAACCAGGATGCAGGTGATTGCAAAGAGATTATTATATACAAGAAATAGATCAAAAAGTCAAGCTGCTGCTCTCCCAAGCAAGCTGCTTCTAACAAATGTGTTAAAGATATATAATTGGTAAAACAAACCTGAGATTCTATCTGCTGTAACATATCGAAGCTAATAAAGCTTTCTGCTTCCTTGGTAAGGTTGCAACTGGATTTTAGAAACACTTTTATGATAGAAAATTCACCTTCATCTAGCTCTCCCTTGCAGTTTACAAAGTGCAGTCGCACAAGAAAACTTTAAAATAAAAATAACTGCAACCATGTTCAAAGTTTATGAAAAAAGACCGTTTATCTTTTTTTCACTCGTTACGGATTTTGCACCATTCTATCGCCTTATCGACTGCGTTCTTCAGTCATGTTGCAGAAAAGAGGAAAAATAGTTACCTAATTTCTTGCCTGCAGCGCAAAAGACTACTGATTTCGATTTCTTCCGGAAAATTGATTGGAATCTAGTCAGCGAACTGCATACCAAATCTTTGGTCCCATTTGATTGAAGAGAATGCATAAGTGAAGGTCTTTTTAAACTTTATTGTAAATTTACAAAGTATGACATGGAACATCTTAAAGTACAAAGGTTGGGACAGCCAAATGACATTCTTGAGGCAGCTTTTTGACATAATCCACCAAGCATCGTAATTCATTGTTTTAGCGATTTTGCGAATGGCGAGATTACGTCTTTGAGATGCCCATCTTCTGGATCGAATATACAAGCTTGGATTGATCTCACGCTGCTAAAGGAGGGGGAGGGTCCTTCTCTGAGAAGACTCGGCCAAATTATGAAAAGTAGCACGAGGGTGGTAATAGCCATGCTGAAAAGCTTACATTGACACATATACAGGTACCAAAAGTATCTATGTCTATATAGTTTGATCTTTACTATCTCTCTTCCCGAAGGCCTTTTGCCTACCTTCAGGTAGATACCGTTTTATAGAGCTGGCTTCAAGCTGGCTTCGATCACCGACCGCTTCCAATCACTGTAGGATTAGGGTAGGAACTTTTGGTTTACAGCGTCGTTTAGGATTAATCGTGTTTCAAAAAAATTTCCAAAAAATTCAGAAAGTGGCGACCAGAGTCTTTACTCTCGCTGATTTCATTACTCAACTTTTTGCGAGTTTGTCAAGCTCCTCAGATGAAGTATCAAGACTTTAAGAAGCATTGCAAAGACGCTATTGCGGTTGATCCGGCATAACTTATGAAGGATTGCAATAAATGCAAACTTCATATTTAGTTGTGGCTTATAATTAGCCTAGTGTGAGAATTTTTAGGTTGTTTAGTTTGCTTTCTAAGTCAAAATAGGGTTCTTAATGGCTCAGAGTCCTTCTTGAAGTTTCTACCGTAATCCTTCAGTAATGAGGGGATCGGTGAATTGCTCCATAATACAAATCTAAATTGAATCCAATTCTACAGAAGGTACCAGAAGGTAGGTTTAAGACTTCTGAAAAAGAGATATTGACAATCAAACAGGGTGTACATACTTTTACAACATCTTTATTTTCCCATCAAAATCTTCACTTGTCTCAAAATCGCAAAATATCAAAGACTCACATAGTGGACGGGATGTGAATAATCATAATCATATGGATATATTCTATAATCGAATGGAACGCCTAAGCCATAGTATCCTGAAAAAGCTCCATTTCACCTTGAAGAGGAGTTCAAAAGCTAAAGACAAGCAACAATCGAATAACGCTTTACAGATTTTAGTCAATTAACCTAGGATAGTCAATTATATGCCAAGAATGATTGTCTAAATGACAAGCAAAAGCTCACCACCGTAGAAGCCGGTGTACGGAAAAATGGCCGCATCTGATCTGAAAAGCATATTTGGATTTACCTTAAATCGACATTGGGATGATTTATATTACTAGCAATCTATTAGCATCTTATTCGAAATAAATTCCCATCTATAATTTGCCGCAGAGATATACACTAATCAAAAATTCTATAAAGTTACAGATTGTGAATTACAACAAATTGTGGACGATTTTCTTCTGTGGCCGTACTCATCAACGAACCCAGTGGGTTCCGCTACCCTGTGGGTAAGCGAAAACAGTACCACTGGGTTGGATCGATATTCATAAAAAGCACTGCTGGGTTCGCGAACCCACCAGCTTCGTCAATACCGATCTTGTGGGTTAAGCCTACCTAATGGGTTCCGGAACCCACTAGGTTCGTTGATGAATACGGCCACTGATGTGCCCAAAAATGCAGCACTTATGGAGCTATCAAGTAAGAATTTCTTACATTTGTGCCGCTGCCGCAAGCATAGCCACGAGGACAAACGAAGAAACCATAATTGCTTCACGCTTGTCCGTTTCCTAAAGACAAGTACGCACGAAGAGGCATAAAAGTAAAAGAAACCCTCTTTTTCCATAAAGAAGTCATATAGTTGACAATTACTTGGCTAAGTACGAACGATAACAACATAAAGGTGGAAGGTTTGCCTTCTTCGAGTGTACATGGATTCACATCTCGGACAATAAAAGTAAAGCTTGCGAATGATATCATTTTCCATTCGCTTGCTGTCCGCAGTTGTTATAACTGACCTTGAGTGAATCTAAGCAAACCAAATAGGATAATCTGTTTTGTCTCAATTAATATAAAGGCGCCTAGACCAGGGCTTGGCTGGCACCAGGAAAATTTTTAACGAAATCTCCTTTGGTCTTGAAAATTTCATACGAAGTCCTCTTTGACCCCAAACCCTAAACGTAAAAACCCCCTCGAAAGAAACTAAACGTTGACCAAAAACGTCGCAATTTTAGTATCTTTTCGGCCACAAAAACGATATCCCCATTGCTTTTCGTCTCAAACACCGATATCCAGCTTGACCCGGTGCCAGCTCTGCCGAGCCCTGGTCTGAACTGTGTTCCTAGAACGACAAATTTTTCAACTTGTGCAGTTGCAATGTTCTACTTAATACATAGGTGGTTCTGTCCCATGGATAGCCTTATTTGTTAGCTATGGAGTGCACCTAGGCTTTTCCAACAATTATTGTAATATTTTACAAAATTCCATCTACTTTGCGCGAGTCTTTATATATAGTTGTGGTACAGATTAAAAGGCCAAAACAGAAATTCTGCTTAAAAATACATGGTGCGTCAAAAAGCTAGGAGCTCAGCACTTTCCTGAAAAACAAAAAGGAAGAACGTATAAACAATAGCTTTTGTATCAACAGGTACCAAGTACAGTGTAGAACTCAAATTAAGATAGCCACTTTTGGCGTCAACGCAGTCCCGCAGGTAGTCCTAGCGTTATTCGTCTAATGTCTTCATGGAAAGTGCGTATATTTCATGAAAATTGTGCAGTGTGGTAGACCAAGCTTCTGGTTCCAACTTACCAGAAATATCCGTAAAACTTGGGAATAAAATTGTTGGATTTTGATTGCAGGCAATCGCAGGCGCACTGGAAATGGGACCCCATGGAGAATTGAGATCAAATTGGACCTTCTTTTTAGAGAAAAGAGCAAAGGAGTTATCGCAAGATCTGCTAATATATACATAAGCAACCTCCAAATATGCTAACCATCAAGCTGGTACATGAAAGATATGCTCTAAGGCCCCAGACAGACTTCACGCGATTTGATCGTCGCGACTCAATCGCCGACATTTCCATTCAGTTTCATTTCACATTCAAAAATTTGGGGCTGGAAAAGTATCACAACCGAAATGCAAGTTGATCGGCATGGAATGATGTTGTAACAGTTGTCTCGTCGCGATTCAGTCGCGACGATCAAATCGCGTGAAGTCTTTCCGGGGTCTAACGTGTGCTCTTTCACCGAGCGCATCAAATTCGAAACTATGCTCAAATAAATAAATAGCTTGTTTACAGCGCACAAACAGCACCACCAAGTTTGGCTATGTGTACTTTCAAAAACTTAGAGGTGTCGTTACTCCCCCCCCCTCGAATTTGTTGGTCTCTAGACCAACACCAAACCAACTGGGTCGGTTCGGAGTATGATTACTGGAAAGTTCGCATAATTTTTGGTTGTTCCTGATTAGGAAAATTGGAATGCTCAGAAACCTATCATGTAGTTAAGGAAGCGAACCAAATTAATGCCTCTCCTCATTTTGAGCCAAAAAGTGTATATAAACGTTACAGATATAGGGCTCCCATCACATGCCTCTAGGTCGTCCGCTGAAGGCAGCGTCCCTCAATATGATGGCTTACCGGGAATTTACTGTGTTCTATCATTAAAGTCCGGAGCAAGCGTTTTTTGGAAGGCCCAAATTTCGCTCCGGAAGTCTTCCGGCCCCGTCCAATTCAAGACCTCGCCTATTCTCACACGTACCCTAATTTCATGCGTATAAGGCGCGGGTGATTTTTTCCAAAATCGACCAGCCCAGACAAGCCAAAGGACTTTACAACCATAGGACCCTATAACGTGCAGTAGATTGTTTATGAGAATCGTGCGATGTAAGGATTTCTTTCCGGGATGCAGTGAACCGGCTGGCGGCTCGCTTGAAAATTCGAAAAAGTGCGTCTTATACGCGTGAAATTAGGAAATTAGGGTAATTTGGAACGAACGCGGACATGGAAAGCTTCAGAAAAAGCTCATTTTTGCCATTTTCAGTCAAAAGTATTCTATTCTTTTTGGTGTCAAGAATATTAGCCATAACTCTCGGAGAGAAATGTATCGGTTCATGCTGTAACTTTACTGCAAGATTGTTTTTGGTCATCATCATCATTCCTTATCACATCCTTTACAGTAAAGTTTATAAATATACCTGGTTTTCCCAGCCATCAGCCAAATTAGCCATGGGCGTCACCGTACAACTTCAGTTAGCAACTTCGGCGTCTTGTGCAAGTTTCAAGCATATTCATTAGTTTTCTCTACATCACATCCTTTGAATTCAGTTTTTGCTCCCCCCAAGAGCTAAGTTCGGCTAGCCTTACTTTTCAGTTTGATGGATTAATGCCGACATTCACTCAGTCAATTTCAATAGAAAGCAGAAATGTAGGGTACATAGTCTGCACTTTCCAGATCTTATGACATGATGCTTCCGTGCAACGAACATAATATTGTGGAATTCCAGCGCTGAAGCGTACGGAGTCTCGGCAAGGCTATTTCCAGTAGTTTCGAGTGTTGGATTTATGAGATTGGATACCATTGAAAGCAAGTGCGTGATGCTTAGTCGCAATCTGCTGCTGGAAGGCGAGCCAGCTTGTCCCAAAACTCTGACATAGAAGAGGAGACCAGCGCATAGCGCTACTCACCAAAATAGGAAATATGCCATTGCCAGAAGATTGAGGCGTGGCAGGGAGTAACTGTAAAAAAATGTATCGAATATTGCTACCTCTTTGAGCATGATATTGATCTGGAGTATCAGCGAGCCTGTGGGCGGAAGCTAGCTGATTTGACCCCGATGGAGATTGATTCTTATTGTAGAGAAGAGCAAGATTTTAGACTGCGATACTTGTCATGCAGAATCAGCTCAAGTTTAGACAGTACCGTTCACAAATGTCTGTAGCGCTATAGATGTAGGATAGGGTTCTCTGTCGGATAAGACGTGCTATTTTGCTCGTTAGTGAAAACAACAAGGTTAGTAGCCGTAATAAGAATTGCAGATAGCTGGTATGCACTGGCAGGGTAGTTTTGGAACAGTAACGAACATCCAAAAGTCACAGATGGACTGAAGGACATCTACACTTCGTAATTTCCCTAGAAAACTTTGGAGTTTTCAATAATAGTGATATCTGGAAGTTAGAAAGCCATGTTAGTGGTCGACAGATGAACAAGTTGAAAGTAATTAGGTCTTTCCTACTTCGTGTGACGTAACCCAAACCTACCTGATTATTCCGAAAAGTTCGAACGCCCCTTCCTTTTGACGCTAACGCAGGTGTGTTGATTTCGCAACGAGTCTTTTTGCTTCATTTTCTGTCGTCTGCCATCAAAATAATGTCAGAATTCTACCAAAAGTTCGTTTCTGCGTTCCGGCTCTTTTGAGCTTTTTCGAGCTTCTTTAGGCTTTTTCGGGCTTTTTCGGGCATTCTTGAGCTTTTTTGGGCGCTCTTGGGCTTTTCTCGGCGAAGTATGACGGGTCCCTAATGCTTGGCTCTCTGTTTAACCCTCCAAGGTTAGTTTAACCCTCACGGTTCGTTGATGAATACGGGTTAGTCGCTTTCGGGGTAAAATCAACCCTCAAGGTTAGGTTTAACCCTCAGGGTTAAGCCTACCCTGTGTTTCATGAATACGGGTTAAACGCTTTCCAGGGTTAAACTAACCCTGGAGGGTTAGTTTAACCCTCGGGGTTCGTTGATGAATACGGCCACTGGTCTCTAAGTGCAAATTTGAAAGCATAAATCAACAACTAACAGTGCTTCTAAACATCAGTCCTTGAAGGTTCAACATGTTCGAGAGCGACAGGACAAGGCTATGGATAATCGAAGTTGTGGCGTTTATAAAACAGTCTATCTCTTTCCATAGATTCATAGCTACTCTGGGGATGTTGACTTCGTTTTCAAAGCCGACCTTCTTTCTTAAATGTAATTTCTTAAATTCTCATGCAAGTACATTAAACAATAAGAGCGGAAATCCACCCTTAGGGTGGTCCTGCTATGCTAGCGCGGGCTAACAAGGGAAAAGAGACACTGAAATACAGGCTGGCCCGCTCGTCTGGGTGACAGGGTCGCTGCAAACACCGGAACCATTGCTGGCCCGCGCTAGCATGGCAGGGCCAGCCCCGGCTCAGGTTTTCGCCCAGCCGGCCATGGGCGCGCGGTTGGCCGCAAAAAATATCTGAGAAGTAATCTAGATCCGTCTCTGGGGTTAAAGGCAGTGGCTCGGCAAATCTCAACCTAGTCAAATTTGCGCTTACCTGGGGTTATTCAATACGCTGATCCCGAAAACCAACTTTTGAAAGCTTGAAAACGGCGAATAAGCGTTTTTAATGCCCTTCCCTTCGGAATTGGACGAGTGGAGCAAGGCCGGTGACGCTAAATCGTTCCGGGACCCAATAGTTACAGGGTTGCGGCGGGCAGCTTCCACTCAGACAATTGTTGCAGTGGCCCGGTCGCCCAACTGGGCTTCGCTTTTGAGCCGCGGCACCTAAATATCAACCTTACATGCATCAGGCCCAGCAGCGGCCCAAAGGTGCGAGCTGGCGACCCGCGCACATAGTTGATGCCATGCTGACGGTGGCCCGCGCGCCTGTCTAGGCTCATAATTTCACTGGCGGCCCGCGCACCCATCACACGCATGCCGAAATTAACAGCGACCTGCTCATCCATATGAATTAACGCACGTTGTAAGCACAAGGGTTACTCGCGTGACATACGACGCAGTAAAAGGGATGCCATCGGAGCTTGCAGAAGGTGTAACACTTGCATGTAGGCTGACAACAGGTTTCCTTATGAGTTGACCGTTGATAGAGTTCCAAATACTCTCGTGTAGTTCGATCAGTAGTGTGAAGCAGGAACTATTTCCACTATTTTTGATTTCTGGGTTTATCCACATTTGAGGTTACTTGTGCATGCAGGTGCAGCCGAGCCGAAACCCAACCCTAGAGTGGCCCTGCTATGCTAGCGCGGGCCAACAAGACAAAGGAGACATTGAAATACAGGCCGGCCCGCTCGTCCGGGTGACAGGGTCGCTGCATACGCTGGAACTGTCGCTGGCCCGCGCTAGCATGGCAGGGCAAGGCCCGGAACGGGTTTTCGCCCAGCCGGCCATGAGCGCGCGGGTGGCCGCAAAAAATGTCTGAGCAATGGTGAGAAGGAAGTTGGCAACTCGTCCAGATGCGTGTAAGATTGGCCTGCGCGCGTAAGTTTGATAGCGATTTTCTCGGCAGGGAAAGCATGCTCTGCAACCGGGATTGCACTGTTTTCATACTTAGGCGATAAGGAACCTACGGCGTTAAAATCCTGAGTTGTTGGATTTTGCCGATCCATTGCCTTTAGGAAAGTTTCAGCTCAATCGGATGGGCGTTTTTTGACCGCATTTCTCCAAACGGACGATTTGTTTTATATGTATAGAGAAGAGGCAGCGAGCAGACACCAGCAAGACGCATTGTTGAATGCTCAGTCAAAGAAGTGGGGGGGGGGGGAGGAGGTAAGTTCTTCGGCCATGCCTATCCCGGCGTGACCTAGGGTCACGACGGGGACATCGGCACGATGATAGTACTACTTTCTCATACAACTAAACGTTTCCATCTACACAAAAAGATCTTCGTCGTGCAGACGTCCCAGCGCCATGCATACGACGACAGTAGTGCCGGAGCGCCGTCGCGCTAGCCGAGTTATGGTCCAAAAGGAGCTTTTTGAAGTTTCTGCCAATTAGGACAAGCACTTCTTGAATCAGGGTTGTAGAAATGCTCAAGAATGGTAGGGGCATGAAAGCCCAAAATCTGGAAGAAGTGTTAAAGGAGCCGAATCGCGTTCGTAGCCTGGTCCTAAGTGGATAGTCTGTACCGTACCACAGTTGTTTCCAAAAGATTGCATTTCTTTAACAAAGGTTCTGAAATTTTTCCTGTCTTAATGTTACAAAGATGCTTTCAAACTCATTGCGAAATGAACAGTTTGATGTTTAGATCATATATTGTTTCCATAGTCTACCCTGCGTACAGTAAAGCGAGGTTCTTCTGTGTTCTATCGAAGTTAAAATCTGCATGTCTTTTCTGCTTGTCTGTCTTGTAATTTTTTTTGTTTGCAGGTAAACATGGATAAGCCCGTGAAACTCGCCAGAGTAACAAAAATCATTGGTCGCACTGGATCCCAAGGTCAGTGTACTCAGGTATGCGCCTCAGCACAATTTTTTTTATTTTTTTTTCTTTTTGTATACTTTATTCGTTTTATATCATTATCGAATGTTACTTTCTGTGATCATTTTATTGGAGTTGTTTCTTCGTGGCAACTTCTACATTGCCTTGGAGTCAGTGCTTGCCTTCATATCTTTCGCACACCCATGGTGAAGCATTTTGTAACGTGTTGCGAAGCAGTACTTCATGATGAGTTATGGAACTAACTTTTTCTCATTGAGGCCTTCTCTGCTCCATTCTCTTTCTAAGTAAGCTGAAGGAACTACGAAGAAAATATCAAACGCGCTGGACTCGCACTGTAGCCCCGCTGCGATTTCACATTCTTCGGTCTTTCTCTCTGAGTGTCGCTGCGCCTGATCTCTTCCCAAAAATACGCTATAATTTGTTTAGACTTTACAGTGGGAGGCATGTGAAATTGATTTGGGTGGAAAGGCACTAGCCACAAGTACTTCTGTAAGCAGGAGGCAGCAAGGACTTGCCTACAGAAGAATCGCTTCCTTCGCGCCTTTGCTTGAAACCAGCTCAGTTTCCGCTTACACTTGAGAAGGGGACCGAGTACCAGATCATATGTGACATGCAAGCAAAACTTTTCGTAACAAGCAATGAAGAGAACTCTACATCCGAATAAATTGCAAGATATAATATGTTGATATCTTTAACTATTACCGGATCCCATTTGCCACCCCCCCCCCCTCCGCTTGCAACATGCGGTTTTGCAGCAGTTTCTTGAACTAATTTGAAGCCGAAGAAATTAAAGAAATGACTGCCACAGAAATAAGCGGACGTTGTAACTACCAAACTTGTTTGAACGTAGCATTCGAGATACAAAACAGACGTTGAAAAATGCGAACGAGTAGCGATTTATTCACTTGTGTAATGTGTTTAAACTTACCCAATGCGGTGGATGCTGTTGTACGCATCCACCGCATGGGGTAAGTTGGGCCGTGATAGTGGTTGCTTCACTGGCTTGTGATAAATCGGAATCCTTCTGTGTGCTTTTACGTGCGGAGATGACTTAGGCCCGTATGCACGTACATCCCCGCGGGGAGGGGATGTGCGCTTAACCATTGAAATGATCCCCGCTGGGGATCCCCTTCCCTCCCCGCGCGAACCCCCGTATGCACAAAGACAATATCGGACAAGGGATCCCCTGTGGGGAGGGGAAGTGAACCCCCTTATGCACAAGAAAGGATCAAGCGGGGAAACCACCTTGCTTTCAAATTTTCTATAAAAAACTCTTTCTTATTTCATATTTTGACTGCAACTTATCTTCATCTCATCACTTTCAACAATTTAGGGTTGCGGAATGCGCGTATGCAGTGACTGCGCTCGGGGCACTAAAAATGATTTTTTCTACTCCCATTATGTTCCTGCTTTCTTGGATGCTGCCCACTTTCGCTCATGCTGCCCCATTTCAGCGTAAAAATGTTGAACTATAGAAGTTGATGTGTCTCCGCAAGGGAATGGGTAGAAGACATTATGCTGCCGAAAAGGGGGGGGGGGGTGCCGCGCGGACGCTCAAAGCAGTATTTTAACACATAACAGAAGCGGCAAATTGTGCCAGTTCTCCATAAACGCTGTAGCTATCAGCAGCATATCGTCCTTCATCCCAGGGGAATGATCCCCAGCTGCCATCCCTGCTATGCACAAGGGGAACGCTGGGGAGGGGATCACTCCCCAGGGGATTTCTACTCAGAAATAGGCAAATGTGCTACTTTCTAAAAATTTTTCGAGGCAGCTTATGTTAAAATAACAAGATAATGGCAACATGTCATGAAATATGAAAGTTACAAAGTGTTTACTCAGCCTATATAGTTAAAACTATTATGTTATATGAAAAATGCGCAAATTTTCTGAATGATCAAGAACTCCTACAAATAATCGAAATTGGATGCTATTATTGCTCGGATTCCTTGTCAAGAGGCGAATATAGAAAAGAAAGACAAATTGCAAGCCACAGGTCGCTGAGAGAAGAACCCGGCTTTCAAAGAAAATCCTCCGTCAAAATGAACGAAATGCTTGGTAATGACTGAGCAGAACCAGAATATCCGCGTCTCTGGCATGATCTACACCATCGAACCCCTACTTCGTTGCAGGGGATGTCGATCCCCTCCCCCGCGTTATTGAGTTGAATTCGCGCATACGGGGTTCGAGTGGGGGAAGGGAAGGGATCCCCTCCCCCATTCGAACCCCGTATGCACTGGGGTTCGCTCGATCAATACCTCTGAAACCATTCACATCATCCCCGCTTAGGTGCAGGGGAGGGGATCGCTCCCCTCCCCTCTGTCATGGCGGGGTTCGGCGGAGGGGATCGTTCCCCTGGGGATCCAGCTCCCCTCCCCTCCCCAGCGGGGATGTACGTGCATACGGGCCTTAGAGGCGCGAAAATTCCGAAAATCTATGACGCACTTCCATGAGTAGACGCAGCAAGCCTTTAGCGCGTCCTGCCCTATCGCCGATGACTTGTGTGGTAAAAACGAGTATATTGGATTTCGCTAAATCGGTGCCGGACATCATCGTCAATTTCAAATGATAGCGCTTTCTAAAGGCAGCAATGTAGAAGTAAGGGATTTTTCGCTTGGTAATGGAGGCTGTATTGCAAGCCAAATAAGAATAATGTCGTATTACCGCTTGGTTGTACAGTTTGGCAGATTTTGCATGCCCGTTTTTCAACTGACTCGACATGTATGCAGTGTTCTTGAGGTCTGCCACATGCTTCGGACCTAACGTCACCGACAATTTTGTCGCACCATCTTTCTATGACTTTTCTTTGGCCCTTTTGAGGTTATCTCAATATATAAGTGATTGTTTTTTGCGTAAGAAACTGTTCAGAACACTCTGTGTCAACCAGGTGCTCCTCTTTCTGTAGCAGCTACGTATCTGCAGCGCGTGAGCACACGCAGCCATCTCCGATCGAAGTGGCAAATTTGAGCGTTAGCAGTATACCCGCAAGCCGGCACATGCTTGATGATCGGAAAGAGAGTACATCGTTGACACAGACTGGAAATAGCTGTACATAAACCTGAGAGAGAAGCATGTGTCGAGGAAGTAGACTGTCTTATATTAGGTTGGTGCAAAAGTCCTTTCGCATCAAATTTAAGAATTTATAACGCGTTAAATTCTCAACGAATTTGCAAGATCTAAATTTTGCATAAGAGGAGAACTCATGCTCTTTGCATGGGTACTTGAACCGTACGCTATCGAGGACAGATAAAGGAGGTTGAAGCTCAAAACCAAAATCACTCAAAATTTGAATTTTTCGTGTAGGGTCATAAAAAATCGGAAACTTGCAACAAAAATGGGAGCAGTCGGTATTGCAGGTTTTTTCACTAGTTCTTTCTAACAGTGCAAAGTTTGCGTCGATTGAGCGTCTATGAAAATTTATGATTTTCGAGCAAGCAATACAAATGGGCGAATTTGATTCATTTTGGCATTTTTCAGGAAATCCATAACTTTTCACAGAGACGCTCAATCGGCGCAAACTTTGCACTGTTGGAAAGAGCTTGTGAAAGAGCCTACTATACTGACTGCTCCGATTTTTGTTGCAAGTTTCCGATTTTTTATCACCCTACACGAAAAATTCAAATTTTGAGTGATTTTGGTTTTCAGCTCTAATCTCCTTTATCTGTTCTCCATAGCGAACGTTTCAAGTACCTATGCAAAGATCATGAGTCGTTCTCTTATGCAAAATTTAGATCTTGCAGATTCGCTGAATTCTTGAATTTGATGCGAAAGAACTTTTGCACCAACCTAATATATATTCGTTTTTTGTTGAAAAAAAAAAACTTTTTGCTCGGATGTCTGATCCGTTTCTTCCTTTTTGCTCTCATAGTGCTACTGCTTAGACTACTTTCGTGAGAATGACCGCTCATCACACTTCGAAGAGTTTGCATACTTATTGCTTAAATGCAGCATTTCCATGCAATGCGGAGCTTCCTGTATTTTTTGCATAACCTTCGTTATGAAATCTCTTTGACAGTAACACAATGTTCTAGCTCAGTTTTCTTATTTGTTACTTTTACTTCACTGTCGTTATCAATAACTCACTCATTTTTAGGTTCGCGTTGAATTCATGGACGACAACGGAAACCGATCCATCATTCGAAATGTCAAGGGCCCAGTTCGCGAAGGAGACATCCTTACTTTGCTCGAAGCTGAGAGAGAAGCCAGAAGACTGCGTTGAATGATTTCCTCATTGTTATTGTTCTGAATAAATTGTTTCTGTGTATCCACGCCCCATTTATCTGTACAAGCAGCTGTTACATAAACATTTCCAAGCGAATCAGTAGAATTAAGGTCTTACTCTAGCATCTCAAAATCCTATGACATATGATGTTGAATGATGTAGCAAAGGCAAGATGAATTCGAAGTGAAAAAAGTTGTTAACAGTAATGCAAAACCGCTTCTAGTAAAAAGGGAAGTTGCCATGGTTGATCTCAAAGTCGAGGAGTTGTTCGTCTCTGCTGGCATCAATCCGCGTTCTCATTGTCTAGCAGCTTGTAGAAGCAGCGATCAGTTTGTTTATGCATCAAATGGACAAGTAATTCTACAAAGATTTCCCGGGGTGAGTACATTGGTCGAAACCCAGTTGTGTGACAAACTTGTTATGATGACTTTGAAGTGTAGAAGAGGAAACTGTTTAATTTTTTTTGATATTAACGAAGTCTTTTCGACTATCCACAAACTGTTTATGGAATATTATCACACTGTAGCCAGTCAGAAGATAAGTTCGGATGAGACAATTGCGACATTGTTCTCAATTCACCATTAGAAGTCTTCGTTTCTTTGAATCTTGACATGAGAGAATTAGAATCTGTATATTGCTTTTTTGCTTTTCACAGAGCAACTTTGCCCTGATTTTGTTGCCCATTAGCCATTGCAGGTCAAGGAAATTCGAAACAGCATCATAGTTCTTACGTCTTTTGAAATGCAGTTTCACTTCAGACATCTCATGGTGTGATAGAAGCTGTATCAGAACGTCATCATAAGTCCCAAATCACTATCTTGAAGCGGATTACTTTGCTGGGACAAACGTTCTGTGCAGGTAAGCTAGTGATACCTCCTTACTCCGTCTTTGGTCACTAGTCAACGATTGAAATCAGATAAATCCACTGATTTATTCGTCAGTGGTGGCGGTGATGGTAACGTAGTTCTGTATGAGACGAACTCATCTCCTTCTTCTGTTAGTCACATCCTCACATTAGGTAAGTCTGTTCTACTACCATTCTTTTTCTCATCGCTGCTTTCCAGATGGTCCCAAAGGTTCTATTGGCGCTCTATGTGGCATCCTATGTGGTTTGAGACTTATCATCGTTGCTTCTTGGGTGTGTTTCCGAATCTACGGTTAGCATGAAATAGTCACATAGATCAACATCTTCAAGTATTCGTCAGGTTGACGAAACGACCTCTGGAGTGCGAGTGTGGTGGTTGAACTATGCGGAGTCAACATTTTCTGTCTCTCATAACTATGACGTTTCTGATTTGGGGAATGCATTTGTTCTTTCTGCCGATTTAGAAAAGTTGTCAAATGGTGAGTGTGGTTGGCGCTTTGTATAAGGGTAATCGGGCATGTTTTCAAAGATGCTTCATTTCCAGGTCGCATTCTAATGGCGTTTGGCACTACCAAAAGAACGATCGAACTATACTGTGAGACTCTTTGTGAAAAGGTATAGTAGATGAGAAGTTTTTGGCACGTCTCGAGCGAACTCCTTCGTTGTTCAGGAAGTCAAGTCGGTATTGTCATTGGTCGGCCATGATGACTGGATTCATTCGCTGTCCTTCAATCGTAAGTCTCCCCCTTTCAACTGTTTAATTCTCTCAGCATACTTCAGATCAAATTCCAACCTTGCTGGCGACGGCAGGTCAAGATACTCAAGTAAAGCTGTGGCGCATCGATAAATTGGCCATATCGGAAGATGTTGCTGAGATAAGCGTCTTCAAGAATACGTTCACCATTGAAGGTTCAAACCCTGGTGAGTTTATCAAGAAAGAAGAAATGGCTAGATGCCATAGAGATTTCAGGTGATCCCTCACTAACATTGTCGGTTGGAATAGAATCTGTCCTTACGGGTCATGATGATTGGGTGCAATCGGTTGACTGGGACAGCGAAGGTAAAACACTTGCCACTTCCTCGAGTGACAAAACCGTGATAGTTTGGAAGGAAACCACGGATGGACAACTTTGGACAGACACGGTAACTTTTCGGCGATATTGTATGGTTGTGCCTACAGTCGAGTAGATTCAGCGGTAAATATAGTGTGCTTGCACAGAAGGTGAGATGCGAAACTTGCGCGTGAAGAAATAGCTTCGACTGTGACGCCGGCCAGTTGCGCGCGCACGATTCCCGCAGTAGTGGTGTGGCTACTTGTTCACGCGCAAATTTCACCGCATTTCACCTTCTGTGCAAGCACACTATATTTACCGCTGAATCTACTCGACTATACCTCTTTCAAAAATTGAAGGCACCGTGCACCCACAGGGTAGTGTGATTTTGATGTCATCTAATGGAGCGGCTCTCAATTGAACCAACGCCCATTGCTGCGAAATATGAATCGAAGCGGAAAACTCAACAAGGTCCATGTTAGGGCTGCCCATAAAAGGGTAGTGTGAGGATAAAAAGCAAAAATCGGGCTCTGATGTATGTGGAGTTGTCATAAATCCTCCCTCCATTATGTCTATCAGATTTTCGACATCTGCGGAAATGCGATTTCATACTTCTATAATCAGACCACCCATGTTGACGGGCGGAGCCAATGTGGCGCTTCTACCTTCTGAAGCGGTTTTCTCGTTTCGGAATTCACTTTTGCAGCGACACTTTTGAATGGATTAATCATGGGCGGGCCCCCTTATGACATCAAAATCTCAATGTGGGTGGGCGGTGCCTTTAACCATGTGCAAACATTGTTGTGCACACGACTTATGTCACAGGTAAGACTTGGAATAATTGGTGGACAAGCTGCTGGGTTCTACTCTGCTGTCTTCTCTTCCGATGCTCAGCAGATAGTGGCATCCTCTTATTTTGGAGGCTTGTACGCGTGGACAGCTCCCAAGACGGTAAGTCTCCCAAGAATATGCTTTCTCCATAGAAATGCTGTTTATTGTTAGGAGGAAGACTTGTGGAGTGCAGCACCTGTCTGTAGTGGGCATGTGGGCGCAGTTCGTGATCTGGCATGGCATCCTCAAGGAAAATTCGTGTTTTCGGTCGGTGAGGACAAAACGACCAGAGTGTATCTGATGCAAAAGGTAAAATGCTTGATATCCTAGCATCCTTATTGTGTAAGTGTGCTTGCAATTCCAGAAGGAGTCTGCATTTGTTGAGGTAGGGCGCCCTCAAGTACATGGGCACAGCATGCAATGCATAGCAGCAATCTCAAGGTAAAAATTACTTTTTGATTTCTGAGAAAACTTTTAACTGTAACAGTCACAGATCAGTTATTGTTACCGGAGCGGAGGAGAAAATATTTCGTGCGTTCGAAGCTCCTGGAACGTTTGTGAAGAGTGTTGTTAACATTGGCGAACTCGACGAGAAAGAGGTGTGTAGAATAGCAAATTATCTCTGTCAGTCTAGTAGAGACGTTGAAGGAAGCTTTACTGCTTGTACCTGCACGCAATTCGTTTGTGATTTTGTCGTATGCAATGAGTTTCAAAATCAAGGTACATAAATACCAGGTGTTTCACTTACATTTCCCTTCTTTTTTTCAAACTGTGAAATTACTCCATGAATTACTCATTTCAAGCTCTCGCAGGTCTTCGGCGAGTTTGTGCCGGAATACTATGGAGCTAGAGTGCCTGCGCTGGGACTTTCGAACAAAGGATTGCAAGAAACCCAAGAATCCCAACCTGAGATGAATGGTGATGCTCACTGGGAAGAGGGCGCATTCCAGGCATCACCTATGGAACTTTTTGGTGAGTCAGGAACAACTTTACGAGATTAGAAAGTTAGTAAATGTTGTGCAGTTTTCTTTACAGTGACTTTGCTTCGCATCATATTTGAAATCTCTCTGTCCTCAAATTAAGTCTATAGGTCCACCGACGGAAGATTGTCTACAACAGAACACACTGTGGCCAGAGATCCAGAAGCTATATGGTCATGGCTATGAGGTCTATGCCATTGCTACTAATCCATCCGGCACCGTGCTCGCTACATCGTGCAAAGTAATCCCGCCTTATTTTTCCATATCATTTTCGCATGAAGTGAAATTCCTGGTCGTAGGCAAGCCAAGCTGAAGATGCTGCCATTGTTCTTTGGGACACGTCGGACTGGGGCAAAAAAGCGGAAACTCATGGTCAGAAGTTGGTTTATACCACTATTTGGTTGTACATTCATTTTTTTAGGACACACGCTCACCGTGACGCAGCTTGAATGGAGTCCTGATGGCAAATTGCTGTTAAGTGTCAGTAGAGATCGAAAAGCAATACTTTACAGAGAACACAGCGGGAATGGTGGGAGTGTTTGCTCTTCTTAGAGCCATATATTTTGGAACATGTGTGAGATCTTTCAGTCGATGGATTTTTATACGAGAAAGCTTGGTCATCTGGTAAAGAGCATTCAAGAATTATTTGGTCATGTAGTTGGTTGAACGATTCTCAGCATTTTCTTACAGCTTCCAGAGATATGCAGGTGCATTCAGTTTAACCGTAAAAAAAAGGATCAGTGATGAAAAAGCTGTTCTAGATTATTCTTTGGGAATGTTCCGAGTCATCCGCTACTGTTTTGAGCAGCTATAAATGCCCTCAACCTGTGACGAGCGTTGCTGCCGGCTATGGCATCCAAATAAGGTAATTTCAATGATTCAATATTATTGTAATTGAAGTGGAGCTTTAGTGATACGATAGTAGCTGCCGGACTACAAGATGGATCTCTTTTGTTTCTACATATCAATGAACAACAAAAGCTGGATCTTATACACAAGCTTCATATTCCTCCAATAATCGTCGATCAGCCAATACTGCGATTACGGTTCGTTCAAATTTTTCATTTGCATTACATTTGTGTCCACAAAGACCCGCCATCCATAGATTTCCTTATAGATTCAACCCTGTAGAAGGAAATGTTCTGGCCGTTGCTGGAAGCGATGGAACATTACGGATATTACGGTTGCAGATGTAGTCGCAAGAAAACGCATTGTTATCACAAATTGTTATTGACGTCGTTATTGTTGATAGACTGTTATATTAAGAACGCGGCCCTCAAATACTATCGCCCTGATATTTTCGAAAATCCAGGAAGCAAAACTTAGAGATCTGGTCTTTATTAACCGCTTATTTTCACCATTTCCATTCAAAATGTATACAACGTGCACAGGTATCCATAAACAATAACAAGTAATAGTGTATAATGAAATGTGCTAGAGCAGTACTTCCGCATTAGTCACTGTGTTCAGAATTGTCACTCTATAATAATAGCTAATAAAATTTATACTCAAGAACGATATAAAATAGCACTAACCTCCTCCTTCACTTCTTTTTTCACATCCTTCTCCGCTTTCTCTTTCGGTCGCAGAGGTTTGTCGTCATCATCATCGGAATCATCGCTGTCAGAAATGTACTCTTTGGATTTTGCTTTCAGTGGAGATCTGCAACCAAACACACAAAAATTAAATGATTTGAATTACATATGGTACCTAATAAATACACAGAGACTTACGGTCCAGAAGATTTCTTTGCATTGCTTGAATCAGCAGTTGACGAGGCTGGTTTGGACCCGCCTCCCTTTTTGTACTCTTTCATTTCACTCTCGTAACGGTTTCGATCAGCGGCTGCTTTCTTCTCCCATGGCTAAAATGGCAAATTTTGAAAAGTGCTACTGAAAACAGGAAACATTTCACCTCCTTTGCTTCTGCGTCCATATTCTTCCATATTTCTCCTGCACGTTTAGCTACATCAGCTACGGTATCTCCCTCCTGAAAAGTGTATTCTATAGTCGGTCTTTAATGATTTGCACAAAGCACCTTTTTGATCTTCACTCTGTTTTCGTTCAACCAATGGAAGTAAGCAGACTGAGCCCTCTTTGGCGCATTGGGGTCTTTCTCACGTTTTCCTTTCTTGCCTTCTTTTCCGCTCTTTTCCTTTCGCTCCTTCTTCTCTTTTGGCTCCTTTTCCTTCTGAAATTTAATATACTCACAAACCATATTTACAAAGAAAAAAAAAACGCCAAATAAATCTACCTTCTTTTTCTTCTTTGGTGATTCCTCAGCATCTGAACCGCCTCCACCACCACTTTCACTGGATCCCGCCTCGGAATCGAACTCTTCTTCAGGTTCCGAGCCGCTTCCTTCGCTTGAGTCACGGTCCTCTTTACGCTTCTTGATGTCTTCGTCAAGATCGTAGTCATCGTCCTCAGAATCCGAGTCGTCGTCGCTACCCGCACCGGTGCGCTCTTTTCCTTCTGCTTTGACGGTCTCTTTGTATGGGTCAATTTCGTCATCCGAACCGGCAAAGCGATCTTCGGCGTAGTTCTTATCCTGCAACAAGCAATAATTACTCTTCCTTTTGTCAACTTGACGCGACGTACCATTTTCTTTGCGTTGCGGATGCGCAGATGCTTGTTTTGAACGTAGTCATAGAGCTTATTGTATTCTTCTCTGAATGTTCAACAGCTAAAATTGCAACGCACAGACGTAAACAGAAACTCACTTCTCTACGCTGTTGAAGACTAACACTTGACCAGATTTGAGCTCGATTTCGAAGTCAAAAGATCGTGTAGACACATCAGAACGAGCAAAGTGGACGGAAGCAACCTACAAATCAGAAAAAAATGAATTGTCTTAATAGTAAAAGACACGATACCTCCTCGAATCGGATGTACATGGGTGGTTTGTGAATGTAGAGGAACCCTTTCTCAAGTGGATAAAGAAAACCAGAGGCTTGCCTGTGAGCACACATTACCGCAGGAGTACCGGAGTGCCTAAAATGATATATGCAACGAGATTATACAATCAAGATATGTAAGGCTGCAACGATTCTTAATAACGAAAAAAGCATCTAGCTCACCCTACAAAATTTCCTGGCACAGTTATTTTCATATTAATCATCACTCTGAATATCTTCGAAACCATCAAACAAAGGACCAGACAGCTCCTTTTCCATTTTTCCACCATACTGCTCATTCAGTTGCTGCCTAAACAGTTAAGAGTGTACTGAACACATTTAGAGATAATGGAGAAGATAGGCAACTTACTCGGTCAACCCTAGCTCAAGGTCGATCTCATCCTCTCTGAGGAATTCAAGCACAAGATAGTGATATCTGGTTTGACCTTGCCGGATTGGTGGATTTAGTGATATCTAGACAATCGCTGGTGAGAAGTGGTTGCGGCAACTCGATAAACTTACAACAAAATACACATGACGGCCATCTTTGTGCGGAACAAGGAAGAGACGCATAATTGTTTTGATGGGAATTTTGTAATCGTACGTCTTTCCGTGAAGTGAAAGATGATTGGGGAACACTTTGATGTCGTATCGGCCACTAGAAAGAGATGTATTTGCGAAGAGAGCGAGAACGATATACAACATACCGTGGAGTTGTGCAAAGGATTTGTTGCAACGAGGCAACAGGTTGACCAGTTTCAGTCTCAATTCCAGCAAAGGCCATAACAGCTTTTCGAAACTCCTAAAACAGCGTTCTAGCGTCTAAAAGACACCAACAACCGAATTTTCTCTATCAATACTGCCAAAGGTAAGTTACCTCAACCGGATCCGATTCCTCATCATCTACATCAGCCGGCATATGGAATCGCATTTCAATAAGGGATGTAGGGCAATCATCATTCTATAAGTAGGATTGAGGCACTCTGCTTACTTTATAATTAAACCCCAGTGCCTGAGACTATCCAACCTGATGGAATTCTAGTGTAGCTTCGTTTTTATTTCCCACACAATTTGCAACATTGGAAAGTGGTACTTCGAATACTGGCTTGTTGTCAAGCGTGAACTCCACCGACTGACCTACAGAGAAAGGGTATAAGCAAACATGACAAGACATTTTCAAAGAAAACTTACCATCTACTTGACAATTCCCGTAATTCCAACCTTTCAGCACGAGTTCGTTCTGTTCTACATCCTTATTCCAATTCTTCTGGGCAAACTGCTTGATTTTGTCCAAATCCTGTAGCGGAATCAATCAATCTCTCAAAATAGAGCTAACTAACTCCCATACTCACTGAGTCTTTGAATCCACCAAATCTCATCTTTCTACCATCACTGAATCGTAGTTTGATGCCAGGTCGATTACCAAGCCGTTGCCAATTCAAAATGTCAAGGTCCGATGCGTTTGCTGTGTTCAACTTTCCCGTTTTCTCGTTTTTAAATTGTATCATAGACTCCGCAAACTTGATACGTCCGGGGTTCTGCAAACACGGAAAAAATGACGACGTGATGTCAAACCGCTATCAAATGAAACTGAAAGTAAGTCGATATATACACATTACCGAAGCTAGAGATACGAAAAATTCCGTAGAAAAAAACATAGGCCATAGAGCAACTGGTATGGATCGATTTTTTAACCAACATAAATCAGTTGTGTTTCGGGAAACTATTAGGCTGTGAAGAATACTCACCAAAACGCCCATATCTTCGGTGAAGACATCTCCGAACTCCAACGCATCAACCATGATGATGCACCCTGAAAGAAACGAGTTATTCGCTGGATTGAAAAGGACCAGAAAAGTAGAAAAAAAGACAAGGGATGTTAACACGTTTCGGACCGCGAAATCGCGCGCGGCGAAAAAACTGTGCTTTCAGCCGTTAGCCAACAAAGAGACCTTATTTCGTAAACTAAATACTATATCTGTAATCAGCATGTCAGATAAGCTCCATACCCAAAATTCTGAGTGAATTCGAGGTGTTTGAATTTTGTCGCTTGAGAGAGACTTCTGAGCTTTTTTTGAAAGATATGAACATGAACACAGTTTCAAATTGTATTCAAAAATATCTAGGTTGTAAACGGTACGCATCAATATTGAAACTATGGTTTTTCTCTTTGAAATCAAAACAAAGGAAAGTTGCGACGTCGCACACGTCGTTCGCGTTGCCAGACTTCGTTGCAACTGTTGTTCGATTTGTCCTCATATCTCCTAAACAGATATCGGCGCCACAGCTCTACACAGTCATTTGAAAAGTAGGAGCTTGAACCTTTAACTTAATGACTTTGGACTGAAAGAAAACTTCTGTAAACGTCAAAAAGATCCTTCATAGCAGCGTGCTGCACCATGCGCAGCACCGGTCCGAAACGTGTTAACATTCACAGGAGATGCAATACAATGATCAAAGAAGTATACTTGAAAACGTTGCCAAATTCAAACGAAAATGGATTTAAGCGTGACCAAAAGACTGTCTGTAATTACACTCTATTATTTTTGACGGCTATTTTGTGTGATATGGAAGGTACCATCGGCTCCCCGATTGCTGCAGGACGGGTGTAGGCCCTTCTAAACCTGCCCCAATCGCGACGGCTATAAGAGGTCAGCGCTAATGAGAGGTCACTCCATGATTGGCTAGCTCGCGGAAGCGGACAGCTGACCTGAGCAGACGCGAGGACCGGCCCGCCGCCCGTCACCGTCGGCTCACTACGCGTCGCGGCCCAAAGGCACGCGTGCGCCCGTATACTCGTTTATTAAGCATGAGAGAATTTTGCGCAATGTTCTAAGCTGCCAGACGGAAAGTGTTTTTCAGACGTTTCTGTGCGTAGATCTCGTTATGACTTCGTTTAGCGGAGTAGTTCGCCAAACAAATCGCTTTTGTCTCGTGTGCTTTTGTGTCAGATGGTAGACGCCAAACAGTTGCTTCTATCACACCTATGGGTCAAACAGTAAAATATGAGCAGCCAGTAAGGAGAGACCTATGCAGTAAAGATAGGCATGAGTCTACGCAGACGAAAATTCTCCATTTTTGATTGTCCGCTTCTTATTATTAGAGAGGATAGAACATGTATAAAAATATTGCAATCTGTTGCTGAGATCACGACCTTTTTTGCGCGGTCCGGATAAGACTCACTCTGTACACCAAGAAGACAAGGCCTTATGGTTGGACAGGGTGGACAGATAGGATGTCAGTAGGTATGCAAATTTAGAGCCAGTGGTCTGTCCACTCACATGCTTGTCCAATCACGGGAAATATGGCCTTAGCGGGATTCCCAATTTGTCAGTAAATTCATCAGCTTCAGTCCGGGCAGAGTTTTGGCAGTAATACCGATCCAAAACTATTGATTTACATGTCGCTAAATGTGGTTTTGAGGCTATCTTCTTATCAAACGACAGTATCGCACTCACTAAGTCACAGTAGTCTCACTAAATCCGCTGGAATACAATTCGAGAGATTTTTGCAACAGACATCACAACCAGGATGAACATCTACGACTTGTAGGCTTCACAATTCACGCTCATTGTCTGAAGATGACTAGTAAAGCGATGTGGAAATGTAGAGTCGCTGTGCTCTTTAGTCTGTTCTCCCTGGTAGGACCACGTGTTGTGCAGGCTGCACATACAGCCTCCTTTCCCGCACAAGTCTTGAGCGGATATTAGATAGAGTTCTATATAGCAATCTGCAAGCATTCCGTCTCTACGAGATTGGCGCTATTCTAACATTCAGGCCTCAAAATTCAAAGCTTGATTTTTGCTGGAACACAATAGATGGGCATTCTCCCACACGTTATTTATGAAAATTTTCCGACAACTTATTTTTTTTTTGCATTGTGTGTCGGGGTCAAAACCACAGATTTGGCTTCGATTGGTCTGAGAGGGTTATCTGGTATGTTAAACACAAACAGCATACTTATTTCTGCATAATGAGGCTTCTGCGTGGAGTTCTGGAAAGTGTACGGCATAAGCTCACGATTTGCCGTGAACCTTGTTTTTTTTTCGGGCATGTGCCTATGCTAGGTGATTACAAAGTGATGAACAGTGGTGATGGGTAATAGCATGGTGCTAATTCTTTTTGCATGTTTGCAACGCCAGCGCAAAAACGCGCTTCAATGATGAGTTTCATTGCGACGCGGACCGCGGCGCGTACTGAGCCGACGGTGACGGGCGGCGGGCCGGTCCTCAGCAGACGCGCTGCGGAGGCGGACGAGTTTCACATCGCTGGTAACCTACTCCATAATGAGATACTGGAAGTAATTCGCTAGAAAATTCCTAATTCCCCCAAATTCCCTAGAATTCAATAACTTACGTTATTTGCTCTACTCTACACTACTTAAATCGCCGGCTACTTTCTAAGGTGGTATGTTTTTGACCTATGAGACATTTTCAAGTCTTTTTCGATTTATTTTACTGGTTTTTTTAGTTCGATTGCTTGCTCTGCTCTCCTAGGTCTTTGTGAGTTCGATTGCATACTCTACTCTCCTACGTTTGCCTCCTTGCAGCATCATCTAGTCACATACAATTGAAATGTGCACTACATGCATGCCAGTAGGGAAGCATACGTTTTTTTATGATGAGTTTTTAGTTTTTTTCATGAAGTTTTTCTTACACCGTCCATATCAAAAACGCAATCAAATAATAATGCATCACCTTCATTTGGTAGCGTGATCTACATGGAATGATTTTGGTAGCGACCTTTTCTTTGCTGCACGCATCATGCTTTTGAAGCGTAAAAATTTCAAATGCACGTTCGTAAATTTTACTAAAAATGAGAATTTTAAGGAGATGATAATTTTCTTGGAAAGCTACAGAGATGCACTGAAATGTCAGAAGGAAATACGCATTTGATAACGAATTAGCGTAGATCACAATAAGTTATAATTGGCCTTTATAAAGAGTTGTTACACCAAACTTTGACTACGTGGGCTTTCCTCAATAACATCAAGCAGCTCACATTAGCAATATGATGTGACGATGCATGAGGTTATAAGGATCGCACACACAAGGGATATAAGTGGAAAAAAAGCAAAAAAAAAACCGAAGTTCGAAAGAATTCAAAGGAGATTCATGAGAAGTTATTTATGAATCATGGAAATGAAAAGACTTCGGAAATGTCCCATAAATCATAAACATACCTGCTTGGAAGTAGGGAAATCATGAACATACCTGCTGGGAAGTAGGGCTCAGAATACCAAACATTCAGAGGGTGGTAGCTGTGTTTGGTTGAAATCAGCGGGTTGGTTTGCATTGCATAATGCAACAGCCGCACGAAAGGAGTTGGCGATTTTCGAAAATACGAGCCCTTCGCGGAGCACTCGTCCGCAGTCATCGCAGTGCATGCGCGCGCGTCCTAGTTCTAGATTACTGTAGGGGACGGTGGGTTCAGAAGGGCCGTCTCCCCTGCAGGACGGTCGCGATGGTCAACCGATAATTCAATCTATCAGCTATGTTTCAACACAGTGCAACCGCATCGCTGATACGCTCGCCCGAGTCCGCCCTCGCGGCAATCGGGGAGCTGATGGTACTTGATTCGCTTAGTCCACTTGATCCGCTTCGTCATTGGTCAGTTCATTGAACCGCTGGGGATCATGGGAGACGGTTCACTAGCTTAAAGGCAGTGGGCCGGCCTCGGCCTATAGTTTTTTCGGTTACCTGGGGTGGTTTGACGCGGTGATTCCAAAAATCCACTAAAGACAGCGAAAGCGGCAAAATTCAGCATTTCTCGGGGCCCCTCATTTTGACTTTGGACGAGCAGAGCGCTTGCCGCCATGGTTAGAGACGTAGAGTCGTTGGGGGACCCCCATGTTCGTAATATTGCGGCGTGCCGCCTCTGACGGTGTGAGGGATATCGTAAGCTCGACCGAGCGCGTGTAAGAATGGCTTGCGCGCACGGGTTCAGGGGCGATTTACTAGGTAGGGGTCGCATGCTGTGCGCTCGGACCTGCTCCGTTCCCATGTTTGGGGTGCAAGCAACCTTCCAATTAAAAATTTCGATTTGTTCGGCTTCGCCGAGCCACTGCCTTTAAAGCTCCAGTTTAATGCTATGCGAGTCTTCAAAAAGTACTAGATTAAGTGCATCAGCTTACTAGCTGTTTGAGGTTACCAAATGCTGGGTGGAGGACTATATGTCGCCGAATTTGGAAGAGTCCCGCGAGGATTCCCTGCAGGAACGCATGTCCGCGCATGTACAAGGGTGCGTATTTGTCGCAAATGACCGCAGGGACCGCCCTTTTTCGGCGACATATAGTCCTCTACCCCCAAATGCTGAGTTTGATGTTCCGCTGGAAAACTGATCGAAATTTTTAAGAGTTCTTAACTGCATTTTCATGGGTTTTCGACCTCAAAAATTGTTGTTTTGTACCGATTCCAAGCTATTAAGATTGAACAACCCACTCAATTATCTAGTACATCTCCTTTTAAAATTTGAATACTTTTGAAAAGTCATACACTTACTATGTGCTATGTGGTGTACATCTGACAATAGAAATCTCGCCTCTTGACATACACCCGTGGATCATCAGGGGATCATACAAAGGGCTGGAAAATGTAGCATGTACAGCTTCTCGCTCCTGTTCATTGAGTTCGTATCGTATCTAAGGATGGTGGGAATACCTACGGATAGGTTATATGGCGTGAAATTTAGATATCTGGAGCTTCAGGATATGTTCGGCCATTTGCTACGTATTGTGGCCGAACCGACCTATACATTAATCATCCCGCAGTAAAGCGGGCGGGTTCGGGGGTCAACGGGGCTCTTCTGTTGTAAGCTTCACCAGTGTCACAATAAACGTTCATAGCGACGTGTTGTGTTATCTCCCAGTTATAAGTTGCCCTAAAGTGGCACAGGATATGAAGGTTTCTTTTAGAGGCAGTGTCCCGGCAGATTTTGCACCTCCACCTTTTTGCATGTTTTAGGCCTTTTCGCCACGTAGAATCCGAATTGGAGCTTTGAACGGGCTGAAAAGGCCGATTTTGGGGCGTTTTCCTAATTCCAGAAAAGCAGCTTGGACGAGATTTTTAATGGAGAGTTGGGGGAGTTCCTCAGACGAAGATCCTGCCGCCTGTAATTCTTGCTTTGGATAGCATGCATCATGGGGGAGAGCGCTGGTGGGGTCCCGCGCCGAACAGGCGGGGAAGACCGTCCAAGCGCGCGCCAGTTGGGGTTGCGCGCGCCGGTTCAAGGGCCATTTTCTCGGCCCAGGGGGAACATCACCCGGCCGGAGTGCGCCTGGAGGTCGATGGGGTGACCAGGAACCCCACCACACGTATATCCCCCAGGACCCGAATCTGCCGGGACACTGCCTTTAAGCTGCGATCCCCTCTCTGGCGGGGATGTTAATGCATGCGTCCTGAGCCAAGGATCAACACGTTCCGGCGAACCCAGAACCTTACTGAAAGCACAATCTCTACATTCTGTGAGAAGGGTTACTCACGTGAAATTCGCCGTAGTAATGGGGCTCGAACTTTCCTGATAGCGTTGAGGCTTGGGCCGTTATCAGGGATGTTGAGTTTCCATTGAAATCGTCGGTAGTTTGGCGAATACTGGTCAAAAGCAATATCCGTTTCAATCCATTCTTGAATCTGGGCGTATTTTACACCCGCGTAGGCGAGAAGCCAATTTTGCGATTCATCTTTGGACCTTGCCTACACGGGAAGTAGAGCGCAATCCGATGAGATTGAGACTTCCCTACCTGATGTGCCCCAACCTTACCAGATCGGACGTACGAGCCCATTTTGTATCCTGGTTTATAATGATTGATGTGATTCAACCATGGCCTTTCTACTCTGCAGAGCTTGATATGTGGTGTTCTTTGATAAGCTTGACTTCAAGGAAATAAGACTTCTGTTAGTTTGGCACAAAAACATAACCGCAGATCCATGAGAGATTGCTGACTTTCTTATCAGAAATCAACTTATTTCTTTCTAAAGGGATTGCGATAGTATTCTATAGGAATAGCCGCGTCATTTTTTTAGTAACAGTATAACTCAGAAATCTGGCAACAGCATGTAACTTCAATATAGCCTTCACTCCTCTCACTCAGGCACACATCCGTTATCACCAACCATTATCAATATAATATCAGGTTGGTGGAAAAGTTTCTTCGCACCGTTTTCTCTTTGAAAAATCACAAATCATTAAATCATAAATGATGCCGTTTTGTCTTTACGTTTTTGTCTTTACGGTTGTGAACAATGTTCGATAAAGAAAGTTATTTTTTTGCGATATATTTGACACTCTTGGGTAAGGGAAGCTTTCTAGATAGAGACAAGAGGATAAAATCAATCTAGCTTTGATCTTTTGTTCTAGATCGTCAAAAGTCTTAAATTTGCGATAAAATTCGGAGTGAGCAGTAGCGTAGACCTCGTTGTTCGTCCTTTCTAACAGCACAAAGCTTGTGCCAAATGAGCACCCTGAAGGGAAAAAAAGCTCCGAAAGAGTTAAATTTGCCGTTTTGTGTTGCTCAAAAATTACGAGTCAACGAAACGGCTCATTCAATACAGACTCTGCACAATCAAGGTTGAATAAAAATATTCATACAATTGCTCTCCCCAATTTTACCGTAAACAGATTTTTGGCGACCAAATGACCATAGCTAAAGTAATTCTATTCTCTTGCCTCTATCTCGCAAGCTTACTCTTATCAACGATACTAAAGATACTAATGACTTCTTTGTATTTTATAATTAAATTAATATTGAAAAATCTTTTGAAATTCATTTAAGCTTTGTAAAAAAATTTTTTTCGAGGATGACTGCAGCCATGTCCTCTTTTTCTAATATTTTGGGGTCATGAATCCGCAAAAAAAACTTGGGAAACACCCCAAAGTATCTCGGAATGTGTGGCTAACGGCACACACCCCCTTCCGAAAGAATTCTCTTTCTCTTCCCCCCCCCCCCCCCACCCTCCGAACGGAAAATCTGGGACCGTCATTGCCACAGGAGTATTTTGGGCAAAGTGGCAATTTTTCCAACTTTTTTTGGCATTTAGATCTTTAAAGTTTATGACTTCACACTTCGCGTGGACCAAAGCTGGTGCAGATTTTTGCATACCACTTCTTAGAACACTTTCCTCAAATATGTCTCGACCTATCTGGAATATGTGTTGCTACGATCGGCTTCATCCGCACATCCTAATGTTCAAGCTCAGTATCCAGAAATTTTCAAGGGCGAATTTTTGCTCAAATGTGAACATGCTTTGAATGGCGGAAGATTTAGCGTTTTTGGTAACTTCCTCTACATGCAAGACTACCGAGTTGTGGCAAAATAATAGGTTGTCAAATTTAAGCTACAGATTTTCGTTTTTTTTCTCAAATTGTAAGCGACAAAATCACACAAAGTGCATGAATGGAATGTTATCCTGTGTCTACTATGTGATGACTGACTGGGGAGCTTGTAGAACCTTTCCGAGCGAAAATCCGATTTTTGAGCTGGCCAGGTGCTCACAGATTTTAGCACCAAGCTTTACGTAGAGCTAATGTATAGGTAGATTCTTGGTAGCCACTTTGCAGAGCTTGCTTCATTCTATCGAATGGTACCTCATTCGTATATTTCTGTATCCATTATGCTTTGGTAGCGTATGCAACGGCCATTATTTTTGCATCAGCCTAATACAACTTGAATTTTTTGGAAATTCAAAAAATTATTCTATTCATTACATATGCATGTCCCTTATACAGTTTTTTAAAAATTCTCAAACTGCTATTACGAAATTTCCGAGGTGAGGTCCCACTGCTCTACATACGTATATAGTGGAGTACCGAGGAATGGTTTCGCGAGAAAGGGTCACGGAATTTTTGAAAGTTACTTACATGAGTCATAAAAATTTACAAGTGACTCGTTTGTACTTGTAATTAATTGAAATAATTTAAAAAATTTTATAAAATTCAATTTAGTTTCATTAAAAAATTTTTTCGGGGACGTGGGCCTCCTTTATCAGAAAATTTTTTATCCCGCCCCCTCCTCCTCCTCCGAACAACCCTGGTACGCCATTGTCATATATCAATCAATTTTCCCCTTCTACGCTTGCCTCAGTGCTGGAGAGATAAATCTTTTATTCAACTGACATCAACAATGCGTATATCGTAACTATTGTATAGCCAATTGAGTGAAGAACTCAGCCAACTCATTCACGTGGTCGTTTGCTCACTGCACTCTCATTGCTACGTCTGCAAAAAATAGTTCACATCAGACTTTGAGGTTTACAAAGGATTTACCTGCGAGGATCATAGTAAGAAAAGGGAAGGTTTTCATGATTTCCTTCTTAGCAGCATTGGAAAGATTTTTGTAGTAAAACAAGTGCCTAAAAATGATTTGCACATGCAATATGTGTTCCAACCAAACAATGGTGCGTACTCTTTAGCTTTCGCCCTAATAACGTCAAGCGGTAGTCTGGAATCTCTGGCAATCAGTAGCGCGTGGATAATACGGGTTTCGTCGATAACCTGGATGATTTGAGTGATGGAAGCAAAGCAAAATTGGAGCTAGAGGCCCATAGCTTGAGGATAGATGTGGCTTTATTTAATATTAGAACAATCAATTGTTACAGCTTGAAGCCATTCTGGAAAGAAACTAAGACCAAAAAAGTTAGTCAACTACATAAAGCTCACTATTTGCGCAAACGCCTTTGCTTCATCCCCAAGTGTGTTGACTTTGGAGCGCATGAAATTAGCAAAGCTTTTGATTCTTTCATTTAGGGCGGGTAACCTTTCCTCCAACGCAGCCCAAAACTAAATTTGTGGATTTCTGTTTAGCAAATTGTTTTAATAGCCTGCCTTTTCCTACATCCTTCTCAGTCAGATATTTCCTTAGGAGATCCTCCTGAAGTTCCCAGAAGATGGATCTTTCCTCTTCACTCATCTGGTTCAGCCTTCCATCAGGAATGAATTTTCTTATATTTTTGCCTATCTTCTTTTCAGTGGTAGCGAAAGAAGTGCAAGCGATGAATATAACAAGGAAGAAATTTATCAGGAGCATTCTGAAACAAATTATTCACCATGAGTCAAAGAAAAACTAGAAGCCTTGGTGAAAAATTTTCTAGGTTATTTGGTTTGATGATGAGGTGAAAAACAGTGATATATATAGTGCAGATAAACTTCGCCGGAGCTCATTTTCACAATGGAAACAAGGATGAAAAATCATTGGATGTCTACGATGCTAGAGCTCATCAAGAGCTATAAATAGCAGCATGCAGATTCTAAGAATGCATCAACCTTAGAATTTTCTTTTAAATATATTTTAGAATGAAAATACAAACAGTCAGAACACATCAACATATGTTTGGCATCGAAAAAAAAACCGGACCAGCCCATATTACACCAAGATATGCTTATGACAGTGGCAAAAAGTGCTTTCGGTAAAGCCTACTGTTAGACGACTTGATCTAAAACCCTGCCAAATCTTGATCAGTGCCCTAGAAATTTTGAAGCTGTACTCGGGTGAGAACTAGAAAGTAAATTAACGTAGAAAGTGATACACATCAAAAACCTTTTCATACAAACGAGTGAGAAATGTCATTACGGAGATCTTACTTTTATGAAGTATGATCTCCGTTTTACTTATGAAGTCGCCAGCATATTTCCGACGCATACAAACTAAGTAAAAACCTCACTTTCGCTCCATTTCCCTAGAGAACGTTCTGAAATAGTGCTGAGACAAATTGTTAGTGACTACCTGGCAATGTGCTGTAATACAGGATCTGGTTCCTTGAAGACTATAACGGAATTTCAGACCTTGATGACTTTGCAAACTATACGTTCATGTGTGACAGCCTGTGGTTATCTCATAAAAACAGTACAAAGAAAGCAAGATTAAGTCTTTCGGCAATCAGAGTTTTGTGCTGTTCTGGTTCTATCAAACATGCGCACGATTGTCTTCTTTAGTGACCTTTTAGAAGTAGGTTTCAAAAGTAGAATGATAAAATAATCTGATATGTTTTCATTATGAATGCTTATGTAAACAGCTAGGCTATGAATTGTCAACTGAATTTGTAGAGAGGGTCAAATATCAGTTGTTTGTTGTTAGTCCCGACAAAGGGTCCCCACCACTTAAAGGCAGTGTTCAGGCAAATCTGGTTATAGTTTTTTTGCCTGGAAACTGATGAGGAGGTTCTAGCTAAGGCACTGCCCAAACCGCAGCGCAGGGCAGTGCCTTAATTAGGACCCCCTCATCAATTTCCAGGCGAAAGACCCATGGCCAGATTTGCATGGACACTGCCTTTAATATAAACAAATGTAGAAGCACACAGAAGAAGAAAACTATTTGGTTAAAATCAAGCTCGAAATGTCGCTATCAGGCTAGAGAACGTATACTGTGCAAAAAAAAGACGACTATGAATATGGTATAGGGCATTCATAAAATTGTGACGATGGCGCTGCCGCGCGCGTCGTGCACGCACCTCGGCAGCCGCATTTTCTTGGTTTCCGCCGCTCGAATGATTTTTCCGCCTACATGTGATAGTATTGTGTTTAGACACTGAAAGTGACTGAGCTGAGCATTGAGGTGTTGCCTTTTCGCATGAGCTCTTTATGCTTCTGTGGGAGCAAAGACCAGCTCATGAACCAGCATTGACTGTCGTGCATTGAAAATATTTCACTTCCGCAGATCAAAAAGAGGAACGAAGTTCAGAACAATGCCGTGATTACAAAGACGTTGCTTTAAGCATTGTTATGCTTAAATGGCGAAATAGCGAGGAGCAGATTGTACTTTTTATGGCGTTGATTTTATGCTTAAATGTTTCGTTACGTTTGAAACTGCCGCCTGCTTTTTTTCCAAAACGTAAACTAACATATAATGTGTGAGTTTGTGCGATAGCGTTAAAATAAATTTTCAAAAAAATCAAGCGATTTCAATAAAAAAAAATTCGGGTTATGAATAAAAGATGTTCAGGGTTGAAGTTCGCATATAATTGCAAAATTTGATAGTAAACTGCAGTGCTAAAAATTTTGTTGTACAGAGTCCCAAAAGGAAATATACACTTTTTAATCGATGATAAATCTCTTTCCACAAAGTCTTCTGCTTAGATTTGAGTACCATACAGAAGAGCAGGCACCAATTTAGGCCTACAGTACAGAGAGAATCACTCGTCTCTTTTCGTTACTGTAGGATTACGGTAGGGACTACGAAGAAGGTTTTGAGCCATCAATGTACATCTTGCCGCTGAGTGGTTCTTCAACAAGCTGAAATCTTCATTATTGGGCTGAACTGAGTCGCTGGTTACAAATATAAGATTTGTTACCATAAGGTGTTTCTAACGATTTATGCCAGGTACAATGCGATTAAACCATTTTAACGCTCGAAAAACTCATAAAAATCAATAAAGTCAGCATTCTGAAAACACTGCTACAGCTTTCTAAAATTCCGGAACTTTTTTCAAACGGCTTTGGCGCTGTATGGGAAATTCCTAGCGTAACTTACAGTGACGAATAGCGTTGGGTGATTAGCTCTATGCTGTAAATCTGAAGCCAGCTTCACCAAATGGTAATTCTGCCAAGACGAATAATAAGTTTTTGTAGTTCGGAAATCTAGGGAAAAATTCCTCCATCAAAATATCTTTCCGCTGACATCGCTCCCAATTTTTCTTCGAACCCTTCATCGTGAAAATGTGAAGTGCCCACCAACTTGCAAGAAACGAACAGCTCCTCTCAAAGGTTTCCTTCCGCGTATTTGCTTAGCATCAACGTAAATGAATGGGTTATTGATATGTTACTGCACGATTCTTTTCACCTTCTTGGCATTCTTGGAGGCTAGTAAGTGAACATGCTGAACATCGTCCATACTGTCAGAAATTAGAAAGCTCGCAGATCTGCATGTTTCCAATTTGTTTCGCGGAGAAAAAGTTCCTTTTCTGAGGAAGAAATTAATTGAAATTTCCGTAAATTTCAATACTCTGATTGATTACAAAAAACAGCCGTTTGCATTATTTTATGACTCATTTGAAACCCCACAAAATTCTCGAGGGTCAAACTGGAGCGAGGGGGACTTCCGGGCATTGTGGTATTTTGGATGCAAAATTTGTCGCGGCTCTGCTGAGAATTATTTTTTAGTAACGGTACTGAATGTATCATGTGCTGAGTTCATTAATCCAGTGTTTTATGCTGGTTAATATACAACCAAAACTCAATTGCTATGGAAATTGACACTGTACAAAATCACAGCTTCATGAGTAGGACGAACTCCGCCATTTCGGGCCGATTCGGGGCAGTTGGTCCTTTGCAATATTGTTGCATGTCCTTTCAATATCAGTAATCCGCGAAGGCGGAAAGAATTGGCGGTCTCTCCACCCCGGATTCATGGAACAACTTAACAGTTTAGTGCCCCTCTATATGTGGCAAAACATTTTTAAGCGTCTCACTCATCGACCCACGCAGATAAGTAGTGGAACTATCCCGACATCTGACATATAGGGCCTGCTGCAGGTGAATCGTCAGAGGATATGTCCGATGCAAATAAGGTCGCTCGGACTTATTTGACAGGATTATGGGGAGTTATATCGGAAAAAGGACTTATTTGTGAGACAGACTCAACTGAAGACGTGTTTCTGGGTCAACAAAAATGCTTTAAACTCAAGTACCTTCGAGTTAAGAATCATCGGGTTTGCTTTATCGAAAATTCATAGATGTCGTCAAAATGTTATGCGTATGTACACAAAGATAAAACCAGAATGGGCACTAGTTCAATACATGTAAAACGTATTACCGGTTTGAAAATTATGTTCTTACAAGTGTTTCATCACATTTCTTATCAAAAAAAGTGGTCTAGAAACTAAACGAAACTCTATGCTCAATGGCAAAGCGCACTCCTTTAATAAGTGCTTACTGAAAACAGATTCAAGACCGGCTTGCGTGCAGGATATACAACACCGAGACAAGTGGCAAATTATTTTGAAAAGCTGAGACTTCGGAGGCTCACCTCCTACTTGAAAATCTGTACAAAGTGAAAAGTGCGACATAAATCTTAGATGTCAGATGCCACCAACTTCTTCTTCAGCATCCTCTTGCAATATTGGTTGTTCGTCTTCCGTGCGAGGCTGAATTCCGCAATTTGATTTCATGTAACAACCACACCAGCATAGTTTTAATGTCAGTTTTAACTTCGTTTTAATTATTTTCCACCGATACCAACCTTGAGAACTGTGTAGATGACAACCGAAGCCACAATCGCAAAGAAGCCAAGTAGACCAATCGTGAGGAACGTCACTCCTATCACATTTGTCAAATGTCTACAAAAGAAAGCAATAAGTACAAATAATTCTAGAGAAAATCATGCTATACCCACTTAGCAAACATGAGCCCATCCAGTTGCTGCTTCGTTCCATCATCAAAGACTGCTGTTTCGTTTATCCAAAGCGTGGGATAGATCATGTTCCTCATTAACGGCAGAATGCTGAAAACGAATGGACGCTATTATAGACACTCACGCATTCTGCGAGTAAAGAAAAACCTCAAGCTTCCTTTCGTCATTCCTATGTTGACTTGAGTGAGTTTATTCGCACGAATTGGTACACCTGTGATCGGTTCAACATCAACAAATGTTTCATCATTTCTCTTATCTGGTGCGCGTACGCCATCAACGGTGGATATTACCTGAAAAATTTGTCGAATTATCTATTTAGTAGCAAACTGCATGCAAGACTTACTGCCGGGTGGACATGTAGGAAGTGAGGCTGAGAGATGTAAATACGGGGAGAAGCAGGCAGGCATCGACTGATGTCAAGAAGGCCCTTCGGTAGACAACCAGCTGCAGAGATTTTTGGAAATAATTTCTGACTGACAAGGGTTCACTTACGGATTTGCACAGTGGTGTTGAAGAAAGCAGGGGTGTTGTTTTTGTTACAATAACCACGATTTTCTGGCACGTTTGGATCGTAGATATCCGAACGGAAACCGTAACGGAAAGCGGCTATATTACGGAAATCAGAACGCTTACGGAAACGCATGGTCACTGTCCTGAAAAAAAAACTGTGTAGCTTGCTAATATAGCCACCATCAGGGCAACAGCACCTGCAAATAGGTCCAGCAAAAATGTCAATTGGTCCACCCTCTTTGAGTAGGGGAGGGAAAAGCTGACCATCAGTGCCGCGAATCTCACGTGCATCTGCTGAATCCCAGACCGATTCGGGGAACGCAGACATATTGTTGAAGGAATGGACCTAAGTTCGTAGCGTAATAATCACTTTCAGCAATCAATACCAGGAAGATGGATCAGTGACTATGAGATCACTAACAAAAAAGACCATGAAATTTCAAAACCTGGTGTCATTTAGGATTCGCAAACTGATATGGCAATATCAAGCAACTAGCTGGCTTACCCGGCTCCGCCGTATCCGGACCAAACTTGGCACACATACACTTCGGGCCCCGGCGGGTGTCACAGTCCACTTTTCGTTATCGATCGATGTCGATTTTACCGATTTTTATCGATTTTTTTGCAGAGTTCACCTACAGGGCTAGGAGTTGGCACGGGGGGGGGGGGAAGTGAGCATGGGGATTCCGAATACAATATTAGTTTTCAGAATTATCGATTACTTTTATTGATTTCATCGATTTTTTGTAAATTTTGACATGCGAGGCTGGGATTTTGCACAGGGGGTAATCGAGCATCGATTTTTTGAAAATTTGAGCTAGGGGACTGGAATTTGGCACAGGGGTGTAATCGAGCATGCTGATCACCCCCCTTGGGAGTGATCAGCATGCTCGATTACCCCCCTGTGCCAACTCTCAGCCCCCTAGCTCAAACTTTGCAAAAAAATCGATAAAATCGATAAAAGTAATCGATAATCCCGAAAACCAATATTGTATTCGGAATCCCCATGCTCGATTACTCCCCTGTGCGAACTCCCAGCCCCGTAGCTCAAACTTTGCAAAAAAATCGATAAAATCGATAAAAGTAATCGATAATCCTGAAAACCAATATTGTATTCGGAATCCCCATGCTCGATTACCCCCCTGTGCCAACTCCCAGCCCCGTAGGTGAACTCAGCAAAAAAATCGATAAAAATCGATAAAATCGATATCGATCGATGACGAAAAGTAGCCTATGACACCCGCCGGGGCCCGTAGTGTATGTGTGCCAAGTTTGGTCCGGATCGGTTCAGAAATGAAATTTTCTATTCGGAACATACGTACAGACATACAGACAGACATACATACAGACAGACATACATACAAACAGACATTCAGCTTTATATATAAGATAAAAATTCGCAACTATTACTACCAGCTGTGCTGCCGATCTAGGTATAGATAGTAACATAAAATGAGTTTTAAAAAAATAATTTGACATGCTGATTCGTTCCAGCCTGTCAGAAAATTACAGCAAACTTCATGTACTCTTTAAACAAAAGACCTTGAGTATGAAACTAAAGTCAATTCTCATGCGTTAAAGACATGACTGCGAAATGATTTGCATGCGGGTCACCTCCCAACTACTCCTACACCAGTGTTCAGCAGTGGCAAAAGTGTATTGCTTTTAGCAGTAAGCAAATACGATATTATTCAGAATTTGTAGAAGTTCAAACTTTTGTGGAACAGAAGTTTAGAAAGGAAAGTGACGTGACTATCGCAACGTTGCCTTTTTTAACATTTTAAGGGTATAGGCCTATTAAAAACTTGGAAAGCACCTCAGAATTCTTGAAGGACGTCTGGGTGATTAGCTATAAGACTTCGCACAATACTTTTTGTAGAATGTCAGAGTCCCAGATATCAATACGAATCAAATGAGACATCATACCTGCCCTATATTCCAAGGTTCGTTGAGACCAGTCGAAACTTGGTATAGACCATCATCCGTGTTATTCTGCTGAAAGTGATTTTAAGATGGTAAGTTTGATTGTCTGAGAAAGGATCGCGAAATTTGCTGCTTATGACAGGATACTCGTCGGATAAGCAGGGTTGAGAATGTGAGTTTTTTTAGAAACAGGTTACTGAGGTAACACACTTTAACGACATGATTCAAGACAGATATTACCGGAGCATATGTCAATGTACCTTGTAGAAAAATCCAATGCGCTGAGGAATTTTCAACATTTCGCACAGCTGAGCCAGGATATCACGTTTACAAACAAGATCAATCAATGGATCATGATAACCATCGAAAAGCGCTTCTCGCACCGTCACCTGAAACGCGTATGACCTGTAAACCTCCAACATGACAAAGTACTCTACACTTACGTTAACAAAAGGTGCTTCGCCAACCACTCTCAGAATAGCCTCTATAGCGATTTTTGCAGGTAAACTTGTTGAAGAGAAATCCACCAATTTCTTTAAGAGGATTAGAACATCCAATTGGCAACAGAAGATTCACAAAAGTTCTCAAAAACCACCTGGAAGATGACATTGGGTAGAATCACTTTCTGCTTCAAAGAGCATGTCGGGCACGAAAGCGTAGAATTGAAGGTGAATACATGATTGGTACGATAGAAGACTCTAGTGTCGTTTTGATCGAACTTGTAGAAAGACTTCCACTGCTGTTCACTGAAAAACCATGAGTCATCATTTTCCGCTTTCAGCCCACTTCATCGTTTTGTTGCAAAAACACTTACACAAACGTAAATGGCCCAATTTCCTTGACCCTTGGTTTTGCACCTTGAAGAACACTATCCAAATTTTCCAGGTGGTACAACCAGATTTGCTGCTGCATATAATATGCAGGATGTACCCACGACTTGGTCATTGGGTTGAGTCTTCTGGTACCATTCACCGTTTCGTATCCCAGATGGTCTCTCTAAACAAATAAGATGAAGACAGCAGTAGTGTACCGAAGGGGAGGTGGAAGAAGGGGTGTATGGCAAGAGGCGCGATTTTTATTGCCAGATGGACATTAATTAGTGCTTTTTTTAGCATTTTATGAAGTTCTATGAGCATTTCTCTATTAAGATATCTATGATCGTCTCTTGGGTTGCCTAAACTTATTATCCTGGATTAGATTCAATGGATCAGTGCTGGGGTCAAAAATCCTTGGAAATGCAGGTAATGGTGTTTTCGTGAAGATTTCAACCCTTTTTTCAAAACGCCATCAAACTTGGTGAATGACAGCTTCAGATAGTAAGTAAGCTAGAGCACTTTGTAAACCGTCTCCCGGAAAGGAGGGTCCCCCTCGCGAATGGGTCGCGAGATTTTTGGAAGTTACTTGTATGAGTTATGAAAAAGTGCATGTGACTTGTTCATACTTGTAAATAATTAGAATAATTTTTCGAAAATTTTAAAATTTAACCCCTTTTTATGAAATTTCCGGATTATGAGCCCGCAATTTCAAGAAGCATACCAAAAAATCATTGGGAACGCATGGCTACGCCACTCATCAGAAAAAACTTCCGTCGCCTCCCCCCCCCCCCTCCCGAACGGAAATCCAGGGTACGCCACTGGAAGATACATTACGCTTTCTAGTAGTAGGAGGGATCCTCTCGTCTCCGAAAACGTTGTATGAGGTATGTGCGTTAAATCCATTCATAAGAACACTGGTTAGACTAACCTCCAAGACATTGCTGTTGATGATCCCATCAAAGACAGTTAGAGCAAGGGCTCCGATGATCACCGCCACGGACGCGAGAAATATCGCACATCCAAGCGAGATCTTCTTCCACTCCATACCCCAATCCTGGAACATTATAATGGTACCAAAAGTTTCCACTGAAGTACGCATATCGCGAAATGGCAAACGAGAATGTGAAAACAGAGAATGAGCAAAAACTAGGTAACACATCTAGGACCTGGTTGGCGCTCGATACAATTACCCCACCTTACCTAGATTAACAGGGGTGTCAGGAACCGCTAAAATGTATCTAATATAGACTAGCGTGCAGTTTCTCTGTGGGCAGTACGGTCGGCAATAGCAGTAGGTCAACAGTTCTAAACTACTTTACAGTGACCAATAACAGCGTGCTCTGATCGAACGTATCGCATTCAACTCGCCTAACGATGGGTATCGGGATAGGATGTTAGGTACTTTATGTAAACCTTGTTCATCCATAATTTTTTCAAAATTTGCATGACTTATTTTTCTCCAAAGTACTTAACCGGTAATCCTTGCCACGGCAATGTGTGCCCTGACCGAGATATTTTGAAATCACTAAGAAAAGTATGAAGGAAACTGAAATGTATGTAAAATCGTGAGAAATTATTGATGAAATTTTTTGTATATCAACATACAGATATTAGGTATCAAATTTCTATTGAAAGTGTATGAAATTATTTGAACCTGAAAAGAGCTCAGTAAAAAAAGAGCTAATCATGAAGCAGGAACTAGAGCAAAGTCTTTTCTCTAGTTTCCTCTCCATAAATACGTTATTATCAGTCATACATTACATTACTTCGCTTGAAAGTTTGTTTTTTCATTAAAGTTTGAGATAGTCAAGCAGTTGAGACATTCCTGCAGATTAAATCTGAGGAAATTTGGTACCTAACTAGGTACGACTATGCCAAACTCCTTACTGTGGTGCTAAAAACTCTTTTTGAATAGAACTGCCAGTTTAAAAACACCGCAATGAATGGTTTGTTGAAATAGCATCAGCAATGTTACAAACGAGCCTCCGGCCAGGCGAGCAGGAGTGGATGACAAAAGTGTGGCAATAAACGGCTGAGTCAACGCAAGAGCGGTCCAGCGTTTCGCAATCCAGCGTTTTTTTTTTCACATGCGTTATCATCCAAAGAGATCAAGCAGAACCTATTGTGGCGGATTCATTATCTGTCGAACTCGGACAATCAACTTCTCGTTTTCAGACTTCAAGTAAACCCCTACTTCTGCCTCCAGGTCAGATAAGCACAAGCAAGATCTCATCTGTGGTCTATACATGCTCTAACGTACTATAGCCTCGATCAAATAGTTGTGAAGAAACACGACCAAAGGATGCGATCAATAAAAAGCATTACACCGCGTGATGAGTTGCAGAAAAAAGCGACGGTGCGACGGTCACAGTGTGCGTGCATAAAAAACTGGCGACTTTCCAAGTGTCAGCGCCGCAAGCTCACAATCGGCTTTCACGAGGGCTCCTTCCTGATGGAGAACTTCTTTTGTCCTTTCACTTTCTTCCTTTTGTAGTTGGCTTTGTCATTGGTTTTCATATTAGAGGTGTTTCAGACATCGTACGACAACTTGTTTGGTCAGTTCAAATCCTTCCCGTAATACTCTCATGTGCTCTGCAACGAATGTGATGGCTTCGCCAGCTTCTACTTTTGAAATTCTCGGAGCACAGCGTGCAGACTGGTGTTCAGCGCGCAAGCGTCGCGATGCTACTGCGCTATATACTCTTCTAAGAAGTACGGGGCAAAGTAATCAGCCATTTTGTACTTCAAGAGATCACACCTCGGACATCGTGTCGAGGTGGTTGGCCACGCCCACATTGTTGGCTGGCACTTGCGTTTTTGTCTGGTGGTCTTCGTTGGGAGTTGGCTTCCCTGGTGCTTCGCATGATTTTTTGCTCTTATCTTTCTTCGCCTTTTTGATCGATACATGAGAGTGAACTCGAAACGGCAGTCTGTAATAAGCTCCTTGTTGTTTCACATGATTATGTATGTAACTTGGCCTTCCTCAGTAGAAGGTTAGCTTGAACAAGATTTTTGCTCTCTCCTTCCTTGAGCAGTTTAGTCAGCGGATCAATGCAGCCTTTACCTTGCTGGTCAGGCAATACTGATAAGAGATTGTGGAAAAAAATTCCAAAAGGGTACACAGCTTTAGAGTTACAGTAAGTTTCGACTCGCTTTAGGCGGAAATCGGACTGGCGCGAGTCCGCCTCGCAACAGCTCGCGCCGTTTCGCAGCTACAGTATGTCCTATCGTGCTGAGAACCCATGTCTGCGTCTCTTCAATCCTCATAGTCTTTACTTGGCAAAACGCCAGCGCTATGCGCCCGCGAAGCCTCCAGCGATGCGCATGCGCTGCTCCACGTAGGTAGAATGGCTCGCCTAATACGGGATGAAACCGACTGTACCTCCTAGAGAGGCGGCGGAAGGGGGGGGGGGGGGGAGGAGTTGGTTATTCTCAATAGGCTTTTCGAAAGTAGGGTCATTATCTTTTGGTGGGTGAACGGAGAGATCCACAATGTCTAAAATTATGAGTAGGAAGTTATATGAAGAAGAAATATAAGGAGAACATGATATTGAATGGAAGATGATAGATGATTCTGATGCACCTTCAGCAAGGAGATGTAGGGCGCCATCTAAATCTACTTATTCCACCATATCGTGACTATGCTGCATTGTAGTCTTTCAGCTTGTTGCGTTGGTCCGCAAAAAAATTGTGTTTCTCAGTTCACAACATTACATGGGTTGAACATGACAAGTTTTATCACATGCAGTAATTACGGAAATTCTTTGTGTTGCTTCAAGGTTGTAAGCTTATCAGCCTTTTTTGAAATCATGTTTTTGAGATAATTTCATAGGATTCCTATTTTAGTTTCAGTCAAATGACATCTTGCTCAGAAATGGAAGATCAGTGTGCTGCCTCGCAGATGCAGGAATTCGAGTTTTTGCAGTCTATGTATTCGCCAGCTGAACTGAGTTTTTCACATACTGGTGGAGATTCGATGTTGCAGCCATCTGGAATCACACTGAAACTTGTAAGTGTCGTTTGATTCATTGTTTGTTTTGGAAAATTTCGAGACATGAGCGAATCTGTTTACAAACATATAAAGATGCAGAACATTATTTTTCTGTTTCTTTTGTGTAAGCAAGAAAAAAGATGATTGTTCCGCTGTATATTGTCTCCGTATCGCTTTTATCACGGTAGACTGACACGCAAAAGCTGGCATGATTGCTGAAAGACTGAGTGGGGTTATTATCAAAAAGCTAGTACTATTTAGTACTTCTAATTTATGATTAGTCTGGTCATATTTCTATAAATGGAATTTAGAATGTAGAAGGGGAGTCAGTCAACGTTGAGATCCGTGTTCCGAAGTTTTACCCGTACGCAGACGCTCCGGCAGCCCTAGTGAGAGCTGAAGACGGTACTTTCGATTGCGATGCGTGTGTCTTTCTGGTATCACATATCTCTAACAATTTTCTTGTACTGCTGGAAGCAAGAATTTAGGATGAATAGTGAGCTTAGAAAATGGATATCCGAACAGCAGCTAGGAGTTCCTCTTATTGCTGAAATTGCTTCGTGGCTATTGGAAAACTGTGTTCGTTATCGAAAAACTGGCAAAGGTATGTTCTTCAGCTTGTGCTGAACTCCCTTCTTGGTATTGCTTTGCAGATTGTAGTGCGCAGCAGACATCCTCCAGTTTAACTGCGACTTACTCCAGATATTTCATCTTATCTCATCATCTCTATTCTTCCACAAAGGTAAGGCATATATCAGTATTAAATTTGCTAGTTCCACCGTCACTGATTATGTTTTGGAATAGAAGTTTTTATCTTGACCGGCATTCCTACAAATGCGAAGTCATTGTAATTACTGCAAATGACATTTTCTTTCTGTGAGTGATTGCTAAAACATTTAGAGATCTGACATACTAACTACTGCGAGAAAGCTTCACCTTACCGGCTTCTCCACGCCCGGCAAGCCAGCAGTTATTGTTGTTGAAGGCGAAACTAATGCTTGTGAGGAGTTCTGGAGAGAAGTCAGGTCGTGGCAATGGAAGCGTATCTCATTGAGGCATTCAGATCAGTCTTTAACAAAAATTTGCATACTTTCAACTGCTCTCTGTAATAGTTGTAACCGATTCCTACATGCTTTGGATATGGGGGGGGGGGGAGGATGGGCGTAAGGGCTTATTGCGGACAATGTCTGTCCCTGAAAGAGGAGTTGACTGATAAACGCTTTTTCGTGCGCTAGTCAATTTTACGGTTTTTGATCGGAGTAGAAAACACACGAACACTTGATTGTTGTTAATGAGCTTATAACGCTTCGATCTCAGCAAGGAAAAAAGAGAACAAGCTCTGTTCGACTTACCTTGATAACTGAAACCGTATCATTGATAGTGTTCATATGCTTGTTTCAGATGTTCTTCATGCAGATACGGATAAAAAGTTTATGGACTTCCGTGAAATTGTACCCTCTGGAGGTGGAAATGCTATGTCTGATGTCAAACAGCTGCTCAGTGAACGCGAGCTCGGAGACAAATTTGATATGTTGTACAATATGTGATGTAATATTGCTTCATTTGATGTGCTGTTATTGTTACGATGATATGGATAAACGCGTTCCAAAGAGATTTCTTTCAGTTGTTGACAGTTTGAGCTGTGTCATATCTTTTGCCATATGTATCTTCGTTGTAGGTGAATGCTCGTTGTAGGTGAATGCAGAGTAACTCTGATCTTTTAAGGAGATGACGCTGATTCCATCTTCGGTGCCAAGCACTGCAGCTGTTCTGGTCCTTACTGAGAACGGTAAGTTTTTGATCCACTTGCGAGATCCATCAGTGGTGGATCCTCACTTTCTATTCATAACAGTTTATGTATTAGCTGACAACTACTGCTGATTACGTTTAGATCTGGCTGGTGTTGACCTTCCACCTCAGTCTAGCTTCGCCGCGCTCGATATTGTAAATGGTCCTAGAGAAAGTGAGATTTTGTCTTTCAAGTGGTTCATCCACATAAAACGTTTAAAACGAATATATTGCATATTCAAACATAAAGAATGATCATATTTAGACATAAAGCATGATCACTACGACCACGTTTGCGTGTTAGCGAGAAGCGAAGATGCCCTCAAATCACTTTGCCATGTTGCTTACGCTGCGGCGAAGGTTGGGGCGAAAATTTCTGTACAAGGAGCAGGTTTTTTTTTTCACTTGGGCTCAGCAATACATGATTTTTGAGGCAATGCTTGGAGTTTTTAGAGCTGCCGTCCTCAGCGCTGCTCAAAAGGATTCGCATGGCCGGTTTCGTCGTCGACGAAGCAATTTCAACCCAAGGTCAGCGTTGTCTCCATTCTCTCATCTGCCTGATCGACAGTGCTCGCTCTATCGAATTTGGTTTTCAGGAGCTACAGCGATGGGCATTAAGCCGTCATTTGATGGGCAAAGTGTTCCATTGAAACTTCCATCCGCAGTAAGTTCTTTATCTTTTAGTGAAGCATGTTGAAGAATTATTTCTTCTCAAGGGGCATAAGGTTAACATCGATGACGACGACATTGTGGATGAAGATGCGCTTCTGGAGCCTGAAGATCTGAAAAAGCCTACAGAGGGAGACCTGAAAGGCGTGTAAAATCATACCCAACTTTTTGAAGCTGCTGTAGTACATTCATGTGTTGCATTTAGTCGAATGCGGCGAGAAAGAAGGGAAGAAAAGACGAGCATGCAAGAATTGTACCTGCGGACTAGCAGAACAAGAAGAAGCTGAGAAAATTGCTGAGCCACGTAAGGGTGGTTGTGGTAACGTGAGTCCATACCTTTTCTTCATGAGCTTTCACTGCCACTCCTCCATTTTTATATGACTACAAGATACCCTTGGTTATGTTTTGTTAGGATACTCGAACACTGGCAAAGCAAGTGTTTGGTTGATAAGCAGTAACATACGGCTACCCTTGGTCGCCATGTCTTTGCCTCTTATTCAGTTTCATTAACCTTGTAGCGTGCAAACTTGCGAAGAGTTTCAAGTCGAAAAAGTCATTCACAGATTCTCTTGCATGCAGTTGATTAAGCCAATTTTGGTCTTGGCGAGTGTTGTCGGGCCAATGATCGGAACTCGTACTCCGAAGATCACCAAGTCTGGGCTTTTTATAGACGTTTTGCTGTTATGGCGGTATATTTTGAGAATCAGCAGAGAAAAAGCTTTGATGAACATGCTTTAAAGACAAATATCCGCATTTTTTGGACAAACTGTGATCCAAAATCCCTTATTTATTATGAAACCCCTAATGTGGTGATTACCAAATATCCATTGCTAGCAGTGCGGACTTAATAAGTTTGTATACTTTTGGAAATCATTAGACTGGCAAGTTCGCATAACCGCCCGTGACAATCACTAAGCATCTCAACATGTACTTTCAGTGTGCGCTTGGCGATGCTTTCCGCTGTGCGACATGCCCATATCTAGGAATGCCACCGTTCAAGCCAGGAGAGACTGTGAAGCTTGCTACAGTGGATGATTTTTGAGTTGCAAAGTGGCTGAATTACGAGTCACGTTTGATGTGTCACGATCGGTCAGAAAATAGTTCCTGTGCGATTTATGAAAGATATAGTATTAATCTCATTCCACTGGTGATAAGTTGTGCATTGTGTACAATTGTGAACGTTGAATAAATAGATTCATTCCCATGATGATTTGTTTAGACCATGTTGGGCCACGTTCATCCATTTCTGTTGCAAAGAAAACAATTCTTTCTTTATCTCCTACGTGTTCCCCTTTAATGTCCTCAATGTGTACATGAACGCATGCAGTACAAATTCAGAGCTGAAGAACTCTCGTGTCGTTGACGGAATTCTCATTCGACACGTGATTGCCGCACACGTGCATTTTCCTCATCATCATTGGCGCACGCTTTCGCGCTTATTTCCGGTTGTCTCAGCTTTTTTTTATTCATGGTGTTGAGAAGTTTTTTCCCTATGGGATTAACCCTTCTTTGACAAATTTCCTTTTGAATTTTGGTCGCTAATAGTTAGCAACAAGCTTATAGCTCTGCTTATCCCTTGCTAGGGCTGTCACTTTTAGAAGTTAGTTTGCTCCAACCATCTTTCTCAAGATGCATTTTGTGTTAGTAACACTGATTTGTCGGTGGCGCTGCTATTTGGAGCTCCATTCCGTTATTTGGAGTTGTCCCTTTCTATTCCAAAGAAGCTGCAAAATCACAAATTCTATTCTTGTATTGGGGAAGTCCGTTAGTCCTTGTGATTTAGTCCACGTCAAACCGTTCCAGTAGTCCGGTCCTTATTAATGAAGTGTTTTCGAATTTTACTTCCATCATTTGTTGATCGAATTGCAATCTTCTCGTAAGCTTGTCAAGTTAATTTTTTCTAGAATTATTCAAAAAATTGAAATAGCAGTATCTTCAATCAATCTTTTTTCACATCCTCTCTCTTCCAATCGATAAAGAAACTCGCATAAGAGCTTTGCGTTTTCTCAGAGTGCATTCTCCGTACACACTGATCCATGCACAATAATTAATGGCAGGCGAATTACCACTGACTTCATTCTTCTCTCCATCATATATAACGTGAACCATGGTCTTCCCATTCTTCTTGTGGATCTCTCATTTCCAAGGTTGTTTGCATAAGAGAATAGTTTTTGTGTAAAGAGCGGCTACGTGATAACGGGCCGGCTAGTTTTCCCAGTGTGTTATCGATCAGTTGCGACAACATGATAGTCCGATCTCATTGTGCTAGTTTTTTTTTTTGATAATGCATACTGAAGACAAGTGGTAGTCTAGCTTAGCATGCAGGAAAAAAATTTTCTTGGTGTCATGGTTTTGTAAATTTAGCCACCTTCTGTGGAGTATTTTGTCATTTTATTCCGTTTCGATTTGCATCAGTTGAAAGTTTGTTGTCTCGAGCTCAAAGTAGCTTAATAGTGCAATAATTCAAGTAAGTGCAGCCGTACACTTTTGCGCTTTTTGATCATTTTGGTTTTCAACATATTCGTTGACTGAAATATTTGATTTTACACACCTTCATTGAAAAACCTGTCTTGCTGCTCCGACTTCCTTGTTGGCCTTTACACATTTCTTCCTTGTACGAATTCACATTATCAGTTTATCTAGTTCTATTTGCTACGTCTTTTGCTGTTTCATTCTTATTAGTATGTAATTCGTGTTGAACTCAACGTGGACTGTCATCTTAGACAACAGAAACTCTTTACGTTCATTTCCCTATTAATCATCGAATTTCATGCTTCAACCTGTTGTTATTCCATGGTTTGGTCTTTCTCATTCAAATCTGCACTCACTTATTCGTCATTCCCGAGCTTTTTACGCTTTACGTAAGAGCAGACCTTTTTTCTTTCGCCCACTGTCTTTCATTTTGAATACCGCATTATAAGCTCCCGCGTTCTCATTTGTATAATTTGCCATTTGCTCATGGGCTTCTTCCATAACGTTTGTCTGCATCAATGAATTGAGCCCGCTTCACACGCTTATCCATTTCGTACTTTTGTTGCTCATGCTTTGACATAACTTATTGTTATTAATTTCTTTGTAAAACTATTCTAGTTTTAGGTTTGTCCTAAACGACAAAAAAATCTAAAAAAGTTTGATTAAACCCAGTGCATCTTTTATGCGGACCAAAGTTATAGGCTACTTGTTACTTCTCTATAGGCGTATAGCATGAGAAATGCTCTGTTTTTTCTTCAATCTCGTTATACCGTCAAATAAGGCATGGGGAAGTTGCACTGCGGTGGTCCATATCTACCACAGAAGTTTGGCTGAACGCTGGAGTGCAATTTGTGGGGAGACGGCCCTTCTGAACCCACCATCCCCTACAGTAATCTAGAACTAGGACGCGCGCGCATGCGCTGCGATGACTGCGGACGAGTGCTCTGCGGAGGGCTCGTATTTTCGAAAATCACCAACTCCTTTCGTGCGGCTCTTGCATTATGGAATGCAAGCCAATCATGATTTCATCCAAACACAGCTATCATCCTCTGAATGTTTGGTATTCTGAGCCCTATTTCCCAGCGGGTATGTTTATGATTTATGGGACATCTTCAAAGCCTTTTCATTTCCATGATTCATAGAAAACTTCTCATGAATCTCCTTTGAATTCTTTCGAACTTGGTTTTTTTTTGCTTTTTTTCCGCTTATATCCCTTGTGTGTGCGATCCTTATAACGTCGTGCATCGTCACATCATATTGCTAATGTGAGCTGCTTGATGTTACTGAGGAAAGCCCACGTAATCAAAGTTTGTGTAACATCTCTTAATAAAGGCCAATTATAACTCATTGGTGATCTACGCTAATTCGTTATCAAATGCGTATTTCCTTCTGACATTTCAGTGCATCCCTGCAGGTTTCCAAGAAATTTATCATCTTAAATTTCTCATTCCTTGTAAAATTTACGAACGTGCATTTGAAATTTTTACGCTGTAAAAAGCATGATGCGTGCAGCAAAGAAAAGGTCGCTACCAAAATCAATCCATGTAGATCACGCTACCAAATGAAGGTGATGCATTTTTATTTGATTGCGTTTTTGATATGGTGTAAAAAAACTTTACACTCATCACAAGAAAAGCGTATGCTTCCCTACTGGCATGAATGTAGTGCACATTTCAGTTGAATGTGACTAGATGATGCTGCAAGGAGGCAGACGTAGGAGAGTAAAACATGCAATCGAACTCACAAAGACCTGAGAGTAGAGCATGCAATCGAACAAAAAAAATAAGTCGAAAAAGACATCGAAAATTTCTCATAGGTCAAAAACATAATACCTTAGAAAGTGCCCGGCGATTTAAGTAGTGTGGAGTAGAGCGAATAACTTAAGTTCTTGAATTCTAGGGAATTTGGGGAATTTAGGAGCTCTCTAGAGAATTACCTCCACAATCTTGTTGTGGAGTAGGTTACCAGCGATGTGAAACTCGTCCGCCTCCGCAGCGCGTCTGCCCAGGTCAGCCGCTCGCTCTCGCGAGCTAGCCAATTATTGAGTGACCTCTAATTAGCGCTGACCTCTTATAGCCGTCGCGATTGGGGCAGGTTGAGAAGGGCCTACACCCCAATTTGTGCCAACGGGAGTTCCTTTCCTGTTCGCGCCTACGCAACCGCTTTGCATAGGTCTTGCGTGCGTTTGCGGTACGATGCATGTAACAGTGTGATGATTGCTGTCCTCATTTCCAACTGTAATGAGGCTCACTTTGTGAATGAATGATTGGGAAAGGGAATTACATGCAAATGAGCTTCGGTGTATATGGAAGCCACGATCAAGGGTTGGCTTCATGTCTGCCGTGGCACAACGGGCGTGCAACGCAAGTTTTCGGCTTCACTGCTACAGAATGTGGAAATATTCATTGACACAGATTTGTATGATTTTGTGGACACATTGTATATCGTTAAGTTTGCTTGTAGAGGCAGGAAAAGCGTTACAAGGATCTTGACATGTGCCTTGACATGCCGAGCAAAGAGGCCACGCTCCTCTTCGACTGCGGTGGTGTATTTTGAAGGAACTGATGAGCAGGGTCAAGCAAGAGGTGTGGCACACGATCGCTGGTTACGACCCCCCCCCCCTATTGTTGTCTTAATAGGACCTCCTCCCCTGAATTATATATCTAAGATAGCATTACCTGAAGGCCCTGTCAAACCTAATGGTTAACATATCCATAATGAGCATGTCAGTTAACCCCTGTAGACAAAGTTTGAGCGAATTCTGAAGATTCAAGATACTAGGCTACCTAAGTGAAATGGTCATTTTCCAACATGATTAACTTTGTTTCAAAGGTGAATTAGCTATCCGTTTTTGCACTTAAGACAAAGTACTATTCCTTTTTTGGCCATCTCAGAAATCCGGCTTCAAAAGACCTCCAAACTGTGAAATTAGAGGTCATCCAAAAGCACGTTTTTCCCACTTTGCGCTTTTGATGGCTGTGCTTTCACCAACTATTACTCAGAGCAAAGGAAACGAATCAGGTGCAAATCACTCCTGTGAAAACTAGGAGATCTAGGCTATCGATCCATATAAATACTATTCGCTAAAAATGTTTTTTTGATATAGTTAATGGGGTGTGGCACCACCCTAAAAAGCTGTGGCAGCCACAGCTTTTTAGGGGTGGTGCCACGCCCCATTAACTATATCAAAAATACATTTTTAGCAAACGTTGTCTATATGAATCGATAGCCTAATCCGTAGATTCCATAGGAATGTTTCAAGCCTGATTCGTCTTCTTAGCTCTGAGTAATATATGGTGAAAGCGCAGTCATTAAAAGCGAAAAATGGGGAAAATGAGATTTTGGTTGGCTTCTAATTCCACAGTTTTGAGGTCTTTTGGGGCGGGATTTCTGAACTGGACGAATAAGGAGCAGTGCTTTGTCTTGAGTGCAAAAGCGGATAGCTAATTCACCTTTGAAACATACTAGGCATTGACCATTTCACTTGGGTAGCCTAGTATCTTGAATCTTCAGAATTCGCTCAAACTTTGTCTACAGGGGTTAGTTGACATGCTAATTATGGATATGATACGAATATCTTATCACTATTATCAGATTAGCCAACTACGACCCCCTCCCCTTTTGACTCCTCAATACGACCCCCTAGGTGTGGCGTGCCACACCTCACGCTTGATCCTGCTGATGAGGCATACTACTTCTGCCACTTATTTAGAATTCAGAAATGGTGCTGTGACTCATATGACCCCATTGTGATGGCGTCTTGCTTGAAGGCATTGTCCACACAAATTCTCGACTTCCACGTTTTCTTCGTTTCAGGGCCTTCTATGTTCCTGATTCCGAATATGAAGTCGGGAATCCGCGAAAACACCAACAATCCCCGTTTCGGAAATCCCTCAGACCGGCTTTCCGAAACGGTGATTGGCTGGGCGCGCGCGGATGGGGAGGGCGTTGCCGTCCGGGGGTCCTCGTGCATCTTCGTCATTCCGGAGCGATTTTCTCGCTTCGGAATAATGAAGATGTTGGCCAAGTCGAAGCGATATTTTGCGCTACGACTTGGCCATTGGCTTGATAGGGGGCCCTAGCATCATATGCTGTCAAAAGCTCAAGACCCTTACCTTAGGGGACGTGTCTTTACATGCGGTCGTAATCACCCGTGATCTGAATTCGCTCCAGACCATAGGTGCGATGGGGGAGTCTCATGCGCTCCGAAGGTGAAGGGGTTTCGACTACTCTCTTCCGTGAGGGTGAAGGCGGTAAGCGAGCTTTGGAGCGAAATGCCCTAACAGCTGCATACCATTCGAAAGCTGAGATCATGGATTACCAAATATTTATGTCATTTTCTATCATCTTATATATAAAGCTGAATGTCTGCTTGTATGTATGTATGTCTGTCTGTCTGTACGTATGTTCCGAATAGAAAATTCCATTTCTGAACCGATCGGGACCAAACTTGGCACACATACACTTCGGGCCCCGGCGGGCGATTACACCCCCCTGCCAAATTCCAGCCCCCTAGCTCAAATTTTGCAAAAAAATCGATAAAATCGATAAAAGTAATGCACGGTTTCGAAAACTAATATTGTATTCGTAATCAGCATGCTCGATTACCCCCCCTCGTGCCAAATCCCAGCCCCCTAGCTCAAATTTTGCAAAAAATCGGTAAAATCGACATCGACCGATAACGAAAAGTGGACTGTGGCACCCGCCGGGGCCCGAAGTGTATGTGTGCCAAGTTTGGTCCGGATCGGTTGAGAAATGGAATTTTCTATTCGGAACATACGGCGGAGCCGGGTATGCCAGCTAGTTCTGTATATTCTGGGCCGGGAAAATAAGTGATTTTATCTGGCTCATATATCAACTGATTTAGTGTGCTTTTTCTGCTCTATTCTCACAATGAAGATGAAAGCTGCGAAAAAATCGACAATTTACGGTCATTGGCTAAGACCTGCTCTCTAATTAGCTAGATAATGAGCGGTAGATAGATCTTCGTTGACCAGAAATCTGTTGTTAGAAAGTAAATAATCTTATATATAAAGCTGAATGTCTGTCTGTCTGTCTGTCTGTCTGTCTGTACGTATGTGCGGAATAGAAATTTTTATTTCTGAACCGATCGGGACCAAACTTGGCACACATATACTTCGGGGCAGGGAGCGTGTCATAGGCTACTTTTCGTTATCGATCGATATCGATTTTATCGATTTTTTGCAAAATTTGAGCTACGGGGCTGGGAGTTGGCACAGGGGGGTAATCGAGCATGCTGATTACGAATATAATAATGACAGGGCCGGGCGGAGCCGGGTTTGCCAGCTAGTTTTAGATAAAATGCGACATATTTCTCGTAAAGTGGGGCTAGAGGAAAATTGACAGTCTACGTCGAATCCTGTTTCCTGAGCTTTCGAATGGTATGTATCGTGGGGGGAAAAATCTGCCAGTTCCTGGAAACCGTGTGGAGATATTTATGGTAGGTGCCAGAGTAAGCGAATATTTTGTTCATGTTGGGGTCTCGGGCAGAATGAACGTCACTCCCCATGCTGGCGTCAATTCAAATGACGTCAATTCTGCGCGGACCCCAACCTGAACAAATTTGACTCTGGCACCTACCTATTATTAGCTTGCTTCGCTCCTCTCTTCAATGTATTGGCTTTTATGAGTCACCGGAGCAAAGAGATTTGTAGCCAGCAAATAAAGGGCTCAAACGAACTATATGCCTTTTAAAAGGTGAGATTATGAAGAATCAACGTAGACCGTCGACTTTTTCTAGCTTTTCTTAGCAATAAGATATTAGGGATTAATAATCTGGCCAATGTATCTAATGATTAACTTGGGTTGACAAAAAATACATGAATTCTCTTTCATTACATGAAAAAATGTAATCTTGCAAACGTGTGGATATAGATTTACATTAGTTGGTTCTTTTTCTTGTCTCTCTTACAAGCAAAGGTGTTTATAGTTGACTGCACGGAATCGCCCGGGGAACGCACGCGGGCGTGCCTTCTGCGGGCTAACATTGGCATCCGCGCGCGCGGAGTCATCATAGCGCCAGTACGCGGAAGTTGTGTTGCAGGCACACCTGCTTGCGTTTTTGTCAGCGATCCGGGCGATTTCTTGCAAACGACTTTATTTGTTTACCTATCTCAAAGTTGTGACAAGCCTTAGAAAGTCTTAAGGTTCAAAAAATGCTCAAAAAATTCTCAAAAAAGAAAATGTGGAAGAAAAAGGCAACAAACAAGCATCAACCATTGAGATTTTCGAAAAAAAATTCAAATGTCTTTTGATTCTTATATTCTTTGTAGTTTTTATATTTTCAAGTTATTTATTTCCCAAATTTATTCATTTTTTTTGTGCTACAGTATCTATGGTAAACGCTTTCGTATTAGCGCGGAAAAAAGTGCAACTACTGTTTTTTCTATTGTAATTGATATAAATACTCTTTTTAGGGGATCAGTTGTTGTGTTTCACGACTGAGTTTGCTGAATCTCCAATAGCTTTTTGATCATGATACACTCTCAAATTACCTGCCCAATCCAGCGCCTCAGATAAGGAGGGTCATCGGGTTTTGGCTTAAAAGTAAGGGGGTAAGATCCTTTGCTCCCCTTATGGCAACTATGCGCCAAACCTCATCGCGACCGTCTGCGAATATTTGGTACTCACCAAGCAGTAGCGCCTTTGCGACTGCTTTCCTACTATCCGTGCGCAAGGCTTGCGGTCTATCTGGTTCCTGGTTCGGGTACATTAATAGCAGATCAGGAGCAGTATGGCCGCATCCTTGGAAGCGCAGAATAATGTGTTATGGGAAAGTGCAAAATTTGTGTCTCATTCTATCCAAGCGCCCTGTTCTCCGTTCTGCAAGTTGCTGCCTTTAAAAAGTAGGCTGGTGAATGTACTGTCGAGGGTGCCTGTCATTTTCATGGAGACTGCCCAAGCGGGATCGCAAATATTTCACTAACGGCTGGGATGTACGCCTCCAACTGGCCCTCAGGATCGTATTATCACCTTGCATCGTGCTTGCATGCTTATGCACCCATGCGAAACTGCTCGGTCGTGTATGGAATCATGCGAACTTGTGGTAAGTCGTCCGCTACGATCTTGGGGTCCAATTTAAGGACGAAAATCTCAGCCCATAGAGTACTATCTGAGCTGCCGGTTGGGCAGCGTCTTGGTTAGGGCCCCAAAATTATTGTCCATGTGAGATCCCCACTTGTCCAGATTTGCTTGGACGCTACCTTCAAATCTGAACCTATGACGAACGTCCCCCCCCCCCCCCCCGATCACTTCCGATTACTGTAGGGTGCATCAAGTGACTTCGGTAGCTAAGCATAGATTACGTCATTGAAATTACTACAGAACCTGTGCAAAGTTCTTCTCAGAAGCAGCTGAGTACCCCGTTACAAAATTTTTTTGGTTGTTTTCTCTGCAAATGGAGCTAATATATGACGGCGATAATATGCTGAAAGTTACAAGCATATGAAATGACGAGCAAAAAGGTGTGTTTGATGTGTTTGATCTCAACTATAAGCATGGATGTCACTTGTTTGGTAAGGCGCTTAGTGACCTGGGAATTTTGGGAAAGAGAGATATCGTATGAGAAAGTGACATTTCTTGGGGAATACCATGTGTGAATAAAAGTAGGAATGAGCTGGTAACTCTCTTTTATTTGAGTTACGAAAATCCCTGATTTTCACATGGGTTGTGTTGAAAGAAATTCGCAGCCCTTGTAGTTGCTGAAAAAGTGCTTTGTATAAAGTCAAGTATTTGCAGAAAGGTGATGCAAATATACGAAGTATAAATGCTACAAGAATCCTTTTCCGTTCGCGCAAGGTTCAGATCTGCTTGTTACAGTGGCAATCATTCGTTTTTTGTTGGTATATTGATAAGATATAGAGAGTAAAGGTGGAACTCCGTGACAATTTCGAGGAAATGTGAGTTTCCCTGATTATGCCTCTCTTTTCGAAACGATAAGAGTGAAATATTAAGCGAGATTTCTATCAGTTTGCAAATCTTCTTCCACTTATTTTCATCTCTTTACAAAAGTCAAGTTTTCGGTAGTTAATTTTCTAAATTCAAGGTGATTCTAATTCGCTATCGCTACTATTTTCCTACTTTATTCAATTGCTTCTGTGCTTTTTTTACTTTGTTTTGCACTTATTTTTCGTAGAATTGAAGTAATTTGTAGTACAATCATCGATCACGTGGTGTTGATTCTCTAATTTCACATCTCTTGAGAATAGGTATCATTTAATTCGTGTACCAATCCGACATTAAGTTCATTTTGGAGGACGTGCGATTTTATGCTCGTTTGGGTTGGTAATGACTGAAACAAATCATTGGTGCCATTTCATTGATTTCGAAATGCTCAAAACCGCTACATCAGCAAATTCTTCGCGCTCACGATATCTTGCTGAATGCATGAACAGATTCTTTCTATTTTTGTATCGAGCATGCAGAGATTCATCGCTCATTCTTTGCATATACTTTTTGTCTTTCCATGGCCATTACTTTGTCGATTTTCTCTTATCCTTGTTAACATCAACATTTGCTAAGCTATTTTCTCCAGGGAAATGGGTCAAGTGACTCCCGTTGACAGATTGTCACCTTTACTTTATAAATTTTGCTGTGCTAACAAAACGTGATTATCGTGATTATTCTGATTTTCAATCTGATTTAGCCATCTGAACAATTAGATTTTTTCTCTAATGAAAATCTGATAGTTCATCTGTTAGAGAGAGCTCAGTTGAAATCATTCGAATGAATTGATGTGAAGAGACAGCCATCATATTCCCGCTTAAAGTTTTGTGAATCTGGGCTGGCGTGTCGTGCCTACTGAGAAGAAATGTCTTTTCTATCTCTGAACTTCGTTTAACATATTCATAGATCAATAATTCAAGACAACTTTTCCTTGTTCCGTTTCTTTATCTCAGGATGTCCATAGAATAAGTTGGGAATTTATCTATAATGACCGTGTATATACCTTCGGTTATGTACCATTTGCTATTAGAAAGAATGGGTAAATTTGGAGGTGTTTCAATGACAGAGTATCTACGGAAAGTCTTTAGATTTCATAGCCTTCCCAGTAACCTCCCAGCACTATAAATTTGGGCATGAGCAAATATACCTAAATCTTGGTTGTACCATCGCTATATTCAATGAATCCGTTAAACTAGCACTTTGTTCTGTAGTGTACGAGTTGCTATGTATAGCACTGAATTGCGGGGTACGCTACCCTTATTCGTATCAATTTCTGTCGAACTATTTATAGTTCGATTCGATTATTTATAGCTCTATCTATTTAGTCGATTTTTTCGAATGAGCTGCTCTTGCTAAGAAAAGTATTGGGAGAATTTGAAAAGAATCAGTGATTTGTCCTTTGCAGCTTGAATCAAATAGGTCACCTTCATATTTGGTCTAAAACATGATCTACTTTTCTTCTATCTGATTGAAATTTTCTGAGCTTTCAAATTACACCAAAGTCGTTTTTTGATGAGACGATTTAAATTTGTTCTGTTTAGCTCAAATTATCAAGATTTAGGCGAAGGTGCATACAAAGGATTTAAGTGTTTGTAAAAAGTGTGTTTGTGCTTAGCGAGATTGCTATAAGAATTCTGATTTTATAATTCGTTTAAATCATGTGTTATTATATTTATTACTAGATGGCAAACCCGGCTCCGCCCGGGACCAAACTTTGCACACATACACTTCGGGGCAGGGAGCGTGTCATAGGGCCGCATGCACTATTATCCCCGCAGGGAGGGGATCGCAGCTTGAAAGACAGCTTTATATTTCGAAACTCTAAATACCTGGATTTCACGTTGTGTACCTATCCGTAAGTATTCCTACTACCCTTCACTATGAATATGTTGAAGAGGAGCGAGAAGCTGTACGAACCGCACTTTCCAGCTTTTGTGTGATCCCTGTGATCCCCGGCGCTTTTCTTTAAAGTCATTTTTCTTTCTCCGAAGTTAACGAAAACCTTCCAAACTTGTACTGAACATCTAACACAACAGTGCTAAGCATGTTGCTGATGAGAACAAATGAGTTTTTGAAAAGTCGAAATTTTCGGTAAACCTCAAATTTCGACCTATGGACCATTGAAAATTTCATGACTTCAAAACATCATTTGTGCTTATCAGCAACATGCTTAGCACTGTCGGGTTAGATAATCTGCACAACTTTGGAGGTTATTTGTTAACTTCGCAGAAAGAAAAATGACTTTAAAGAAAAGCGCCGGGGATCATCAGGGATCATACAAAAGCTGGAAAATGCGGTTCGTACAGCTTCTCGCTCCTCTTCAACATGTTCATAGTGAAGGGTAGTAGGAATACTTAGGGACAGGTACACAATGTGAAATCCAGGTATCTGGAGTTTCGAAATATAAAGCTTTCTTTTAAGCTGCGATCCCCTCCCCGCGGGGATAATAGTGCATGCGGCCCATAGTCTACTTTTCTTATCGATCGATGTCGATTTTACCGATTTTTTGCAAAATTTGAGCTAGGGGGCTAGGATTTTGCACGGGGGGGGGGTAATCGAGCATGCTGATCAATCCCTCCGGGGTGATCAGCATGCTCGATTACCCCCCCTGTGCAAAATCCCAGCCCCCTAGCTCAAATTTTGCAAAAAATCGATAAAATCGATATCGATCGATAACGAAAAGTAGCCTATGACACGCTCCCTGCCCCGAAGTATATGTGTGCCAAGTTTGGTCCCGATCGGTTCAGAAATAAAAATTTCTATTCCGCACATACGTACAGACAGACATACAGACATACATACAGACAGACATTCAGCTTTATATATATTAGATTGATGCATAATTCCTGCACCAAAATAGGTACAGACCGCAATAACTCGGAATAATCCTGTATCCCAAGTAGGATTCGATATATCATTTGATAGCGCAAACCTAGCTCTACAAGATAGTGCTCAAATATCTACACCAGCTTTGATCCACGCGAAGTTTTGAGCCAAAAACTGAAAAAAACCATGCGTCCGAAAACATTAAGACAGATCTTAAAAAAATTGTAACTTCGTTCAAAAAGCTCATACAAATGTTCTTTCTTGCTCACGCGTAGACGTTCCACGTAAGACATTTATCTATGCGGTTGCTGTATTTTTTTCTCAACTAGGCGATGAAAAAACGAAGTTTTTTATGTTTTTGCCAAACTAGTGCTGAGATGTTCTAGTATTAACAGTTGTATAGTACAAGCCGTTAGCAGTGAAACTTTACATTTTCAGCCTTCTAGAACAGCTGATTCACGAGGAATAACGAATCTAGCTCTCCTTATCCAAATTTTTCTTGCCTAGTTGCTAAAAATTCGATATTTCTCGTAAACCAACTGCTCTGAAGAGCTGAAAACTCACATTCACGCTTCTAAGGTTCTATACTATACAACTGTCAGTGCTAGAACATCTCAGCATTGTTTTGGAAAAAACATGAAAAACTTCGTTTTCTCATCGCCTAGTTGAGAAAAAAATACAGCAACCGCATAGATAAATGTCTTACATGAAACTTCTACGCGTGAGCAAGAAAGAAAATTTGTATGAGCTTTTTGAATGAAGTTACAATTTTTTTAGGATCTGTCTTAAGGTTTTCGGACGCATGGTTTTTTTCAGTTTTTGGCTCAAAACTTCGCGTGGATCAAAGCTGGTGTAGATATTTGAGCACTATCTTGTAGAGCTAGGTTTGCGCTATCAAATGATATATCGAATCCTACTTGGATACAGGATTATTCCGAGTTATTGCGGTCTGTACCTATTTTGGTGCAGGAATTATGCATCAACCTAATAAGATTGATTTTTCCATCTTTGGACCTTTGCAAAAATTGATAGTAGTGCCAGAATATCTTATAACATTTGGAGTTTGCGGCTTTCATTGTTGTTGTTTTTTTCGCAGGCATCATCTGGTAGTTCATTTATAAAGAAGGTGTGACTTCTTCAGCGTCATGATTTGAGAAAATACATTTTACGATAATAGAGTATGATTTGTTCACCGTATTAAACTGCAGCGTTTGATTACGTTTTAATGTCAATGCTATCTTTTTTGAATCTCTTTTTCACGCAATTCCACGTGACATGTGTAATGAAGATTCAGAAAAATAAACGGTGTGCTAAAAGGTTGATTACAAGCTGTAGTTTTATACGCGTTCATTTGTTTTTATAAGCGATGCGAATGTAATTGTGATTGGTTTTCAGTAATGTCATCACGCAGCTTGAGTTTCGCGATGTACGGTGCAATTCAAGAGTTTTCTTGCACCATAGAAGGGCCGCATGCTATCCTGAAGCACCAGATATGTGGATTCCACGCTGTCTACCTATCCGTAGGTATTCCCACCAACCTTCATTATGAACATATTGAACGGGGGCAAAGCTGTACAAACCGCATTTTCCAGCTTTATGATCCTTTGATGATCCCCGGGGGACGACCTTTACAGAAGTAATTCTTCTTCATTCAGAGTTAATGAAAACATTCCAAAGTTGTACTGATTATCTAACCCAACAGTGCTAAACATGTTGCTGATAAGAACAGATGAGTTTTTAAAAAGTCGAATTTTTCGATAAACCCCAACTTTCGACTTGCGGTTCATCGCAGATTTCATGACTTCGAAGCATCGCTTGTTCTTACCAAAACATCATTAGCACTGTTGGGTTAGATAAACAGGACAACTTTGGAGTGTTTTTATTGACTTCGAAAAAAGAGAAATGACTTTAAAGAAAATACTGTCGGCAGCCAGGGATCATCAGGGGATCAAACAAAACGCTGGGAAATGCGGCTTGTTTTACTTCTTGCTCCCGTTCAAGATGTTTATAGTGGAGGGTGGTGGTAGCACTTACGGATAGGTAGACAGCGTGAAATTTAGATATGTGGAGCTTGATTTCTTCTGAAGCTGTGATCCTCTCCTCGGCGGGGATAATGCATGCGACCCTAAGTGTTTTCAGGTTAGTATGCACGCAAAGTTTGTAAGTATTAATTGGTCTAGGACAGTGTATTTCCACGCAATGTAGCTCGTGGCTTTGCTGTTTTGTTCTGTCTCAGGTACTGATTAAATCTCATGCTATTTATCATTCAAAGCGGGAAAAAATCGTTAAAGGTTATGCTATAGCTTGCTTCTTATGCGCAGCGGCTATAAAGCATAGGTATCCGTGGAAAGCACACATTACATCATGAAATAGCCTGCAAGAATATTAATAAGATACGCTCACGTTACGGTCTGGTAATTGAGGCTTGCTTCCATGATCAAATAACCCTTGTTACAGCGTAGAAACTCTCTCGTTGAAACTATGATTGAGGAGCATCTCACTAGAACATTGATCAAAGATTGTGTTTGTATGAAGTTTTACGTGCTGAGCAACGATATTCATGGTTTTCGATGTTATTTATTGGTAATGGAGATTTTTTGGTGAAAAAAAGAGATCTAACACCACTCTTAACTCTCTTTGTGAAAAAGCTGGAAGTCTATGTTTTTTATGTGGTAGTATGAGTCTGGACTTTATGCTTATGACGTACTACGGTAGCCCTATTATTATTTACAGAACCTTCTTTGGAGTGTAGATAATCGCATTGTGTAGCCATCATTTCTTTGAAATGCATGGTCCACAGAATGATATAAAAAGCATTTTCGTGGATGCATTCATGAATCGCCTGATAAAAGGCTTGTTATCGAGTGTTGAATACCAGTCTTTATTAGCAGCTGATGCAGTGTTTTTTTCTACTGCCAAACACCTGATTAGAGAATAAATCCGTGAAATTTTTGCATGCTTGCTACGCTCAGAATCCTCAGGCGTATGGAAAAGTGTAAAATATTCTTTGAACTTTGTTCGTCGACCCTCATTCGCAAACGCAGGCAAATCCAATGTTTTCGTTGCCCTCAACCTCAACAGCAGCTTCGTTGGCCTGGAGAATGTCATGATTTTTGACAAATGCGTTTTTATGCGTCCGTTGTGTGTTTTTATTTGTCTTCGTAACGGTTCTAATTTGATTGGCCCTTGCTCAAGTTGTACTTCTCAAGCACTTTCTTAACACACACTGTCTTGTGGTTTTGATTGTAATAATTCTCAGCGCCCAGTTGTTCTGCTATCAGCCTCACGATATCTTTTTTCTCTCCAGGTGGCACGCCGGGAGGTTCAAAGCAACTCTCATTTAGAGTAGATTATCCTCGAACTGTTCAGTTTGGACTTATGCGAATTGAATACTTGAGAAGAAAGGGCTTGATTGGGTTTTCCCACTCTATCATTCACGATTCTTTTGCTCAAAGTAAACCCTGCTTTTTTGTCATCCTTGTGTGATCGATGCCATCTATCTTGCTTTTTTCACAATAAATATTGCCAGTGTAACTGTTGCCTGTTGCCCTAACTCTGATCGCTTGTAGGTTTTATTGCGTGGTCGGTCCATCCGTCAACAACGAGGAATGTCAGAAAAGTCACATGAGCCAATACATAGTGGCCATTTTATGACATCAAATCCCCACACAGAACCGCAGCAGGACGATGAGGATGAAGACGTTGAGGTAAGAAGGATTTCTTGCACTAAGCATGATCAGAACAGTCTTGCTACTCTAGTAGCATGAAATGTGATTTATTTCAATTTTTTCTCTGCTTATTCGCTTATTGTTTGTGTTTTCCTTTCACAATCGGTTTCATACTGTGATGAGCTTGAGTACAAAGGCCTAAATATTCATTCTCGTCATCTCCAGACTGGCAACAAAGTAGTCATTTGTTCTAACTGAGAACTTGTTCTAGTCTTTCTAGTTCTCGCACCCTGATTACTATGTCCATGTGAATTCGGTGTTTTGGAAGGGCATGACAAACTGACAGGACAACTTAGAGTTTGATCTCTTCTGCCATATTGTTGTTCATCAGATTCCGTGTCTCAGTTTTTCTTTTCACTTTGATGTTGTGTTTAGCACCGCTGAGGCTTTACAATCGAGGTTCTTAGGTGGCACAGATTTTGTTGATTCATTTGTCGTTCACACCTGAATGCCCAAAGACGGACAGTGTTAAGACTTCTTGAAAAGTTACAATGAATGCGGCAAACATCAAGGAGAGCTGTTGAATCTTGAACTTGTTTTTTTTTGCAAGTTGGTGATTTATGGTAGCCTAAGCCATCAAAGCAGTCTGGGCAGCCTATAGGAGACCACGGGAGGATCATCTGAAGTTCACGAGAATTAGGATCAATTCAGGCTCGCATCTTTCTCAAAGTAAGGCTACCTCATTGCTCATTTCATGCTATGAGACTTTTTGATGAATTTAAGCGTTTAACAGCTCCAGCATCTTTTGCCGTTTTGCTACAGCTCATGGAAATCTGTATGATAGTAAATTAAATTATTTTTCCTTTCTTCCTTACCACCACGGAGTCATTTCGATTCATAACATACTGAAAAAATAGGTCCGAATATAGAAATGTTATGCGTAAGTACATCACTGCGTAAGACTTGTACTTCTTCTCGAAAACATTCCTTATCTTCATATAGTGGAGAGAAATTTTTTTCTCAAAATGATTTTCTGGTTCGACACGTTCTGGTATACGTGCATTTCTGAAGATCAATAAAAAATTGTCGCCACAGCAAAAAGTTTGCGGATGTTTTCTGCACTATTCCTCCTTGAGTCTGTCCGGTCACAGTTCTTTTTAGACTAGACTATCAGTGTCCAAGAGAGTATCTGCGCGCCCTAAAGTGTCTGTATGTTGAGCTCAAAGAATGACGGGGTTTCCCCAAAATGATGGATAGTTTTGTTTACGTTCAGGCAACGTTGATATTGATCATGTTGCACTTTAGGTGGATGTTGTGGAAGACGATGATGAAAAACCTAATGAAATCGGAGCAGGTGCAACCAAGGGGGAGCGCGCTGCATTGGTGAGATCACACTTCTGTATCTATTTCTGAGCTGTGATACATCCTGGCAACTTGTCCATTATTTATGACCTATTGTATCTGATTGATCACTTTATTTCAGTACGAGAGGCCAGTCACATTCTATAAATTCGGACCGAAGAAAACGCAATCCATCGCTATAGACGTCTCATTGAATAAGCTTAACAAATGCATCAAAGTGGCGTACAAGTTCGTGCCAGCTCATCTCGATTGGTCATCGTAGCCGATTAACACTTTTTGTCTTACAGCAAAATGACAACGCCGAAATGGAAGGATTTCAAGGGTTTGCGACTTCACTGGAAACAAAGAATACGACTCAATAATGTGATTTGGAGGGCATATTACATTGAATGTAATATCTTTCACAAACCTCAAATTTTTTTTCGCACGTCGAATGTTTTTCAGTTCGAATGCCGACCAAGAAGGTGAAGAAGAAAACCCCGTTTTGTTACTTTGCCGTGCCGGACGATGACACAACACACGTAAAACTCGAAGTAAGTTGTGGTAGTTTTCTTAGCCCGTTCCCGTTCGCATTTTCGCTTGCATCTAGGGCAGTGTTTTGGAGGGCATGTACTGGAAGCGACGAATGGAAGCGGTTTGTGCTCAGTACAAGAAATGGAGGCATTTCATGAAGTCCAGGCGTGCGCAAGAAAAACCAGCCAAGCGAAAAAGGGTGTGCCTCGCTTTTGCTCCTTCTTTCGGAATTTTATCACTTAAGTTCCAGACATATTCTGAGGGTCGTAGCGAACGCTTCGATCGTGAGCTGGGCGAACCTCCATCAAAGCGTGAACAACGCAGTCAGACGCCGAAAAATACATCTACGGAACCAGATTACGATGACTTTGAGAATGTCTTCACGGATAGTCTGTTTGAATCTCTCAATCAACCTTATATGTTTCCGAACCCGAAGGAGTTTAGTGAGTGTTCATTCGTTATTGACTTTTTCCGACTTGGCTCAGTTGCACTTTTATCACTTTTCCTTTTTTCTTTTCGAGAGGTTTTTTTTTCAGCACAAAGTGGGAATGCCGATATCATGCAGCCGGGCTTGTTGTCTCTGCAGCCAAGTCTTGAAGAGATTATGGCCAGTCTTGGTGAGTTATCTTCTCAATTACGATTTTGCTTGATAGTCGACAGGTGCAGTTGCCTCTTCTTTGATCCATTTATGAGGCAGCAATATTTTAGATAACGAACTCTTGTTCTGTCAAGTATCACGCCCTACCACATCACGTATGTCGAAATTTTCACATCTCCCGTTATCACTTTGATATTTCTTGTAAATAAAGCAAAGCAGGGCGTTCTGGTAGTGTAGAGTTAGGGTACTCCAACGTTCAAGAACAGGATGTTCATATTAGGAATTTTGAAAATGTTTCTTGAAGTGCTCTTAGTAGTTTTTGCTTCCCGCAAAAAAGTGTAGGTTGAAAACAAACGCTCAAAGGATGACTCAGTATTATTCTCAAAGTTCTCAAGACTCAGTCAAAAACCTCCACTAAGCCGCTTTTCTCTTACCGCAAGCGCCCTCTGGAATGCTTCAGGTTTACTGGTTGCATTGATTGTCTTTTGCACTTTTGGCTGTGATTGCCATTTCTCGGGGTTGTATTGGACGGCATCTAGCTTTACTTTGTGGTTTTCCACTTTTGAACAACTTTTTTCTTTCCTTTAGACTACGTTTCTTGCGTAGAATTTTAGCCTGTGTAGCTAAAAGCGAGTTGCATCAAAATTGAACGAGTCTGCCGCACGAGTGTCAATTTGTCTCACACTTGTTGCTGCCAAAAGTTGTTTTGATCCTTAACAGTGTTCTTATCAGGAAACTATCTATCACAGACCGCTATGAAGATGAACCGAGCTCGTCTTCACGTGATGGTGTGATGTCCAACGTGCCGCAGCCAGCAACTCAGTCAATGATTGACGCTCCACAAACGAATGTGCAAACAATACATCCGATGTCGATGCCACCTCAAACTCATATGTCTATGTCTTCACAACAACATCGACCGGTTCTCGTAGGAAATCGTGGTGGTTCGACGTCAGTACCCAGACAAGCACAGGACTATGCTGTGGCCAGCATGTTGGTAGACTATAGGTAGAACTTTTTTCATCACTGTTCACAATCGCTGAAAATGTTTTACTATGTGATTCATTGCCCATTCAGTAACCAAACGCCATCGTCAATGTCGATGCAAATGCCGACGCGGCAGTCGTCATCTATCACCTCACAAATGCTCATGATGTCATCGGCACATGCAGCACAGCCGCAGTATTCAACGGCATCGGTTTACAATTCTGTTCCAACTGTTCCTCACACACAACGAAGTGGCGTGCAATGGAAAGGCAACTTCCTGGTCAGTTATCCATCTTTCAGTCAAGCTTTGAGTGCAGCTGACATGTTCAGGATTTTTTTTTCGTTCTGAATTTGTTTACACACTTTGTTTATCTATCTCGATACTACAAAACAGTGAAAGCAGGAAATTTTCGCTAGTTTCGTGTTTTTTCAATGTTTCCGGTAATTTGAACACCTTCAGTCCTTTCGTAGGCAAAAAATGGTCGGAAATGAATGATGTTTCTAACAACCTTGATAACTGTGTTTGTTGATAAGTCGTTCTGCTATTGATCAAAGTATAGTGGGATAGAAGTAATAATTTTTCTGTCACAAAGCAAACAGACTACAAAAACCTGGCAACCGGTTTACTGTGCCTGATGACAAAAAATCGACCCCGTAGACTTTGCTTACCCATTCTACTTTTTGTGTTCTAGATAGTCTGTGCGCACATCAGTCACTATTGTGCGTGGATTGTCTTAGAACACCCAGTGGTAATGCAGATTAAAACAACTTGAAAGTTTTTGTCTCAGCTTGGCAACCAGGACGTGTCAAATACGCTGGAGTATGTGCCACAATTTCTACAATCACCTCCAAACATCTTGCCAGGGACATCGGTTAGTTATATACGAGTAAATCTTATTATTGTTTTGCTTCTCTCTTTTTGATTTGTTAACATATTTAGTTGTCAATGGGCTGCGCACCGCCGACACCATCACGTCCGTGGTGGCTAGATAGTCCTTTGACAGCTGCAGCTCAAAGTCCTTTAGCTGCTGTTGCTTCGACGCTTAGTGGTGGTACCGTAACTCCATTGGGGCCACCAACACCGTTGGGAATTGGTGCAGGTAAGAGTAACCTTTTTTCATGATATTTTACTACCTATCATACCGCCAATCAGCGTCATTCTCCGTTTTTTGAGGTTGGTATTCCAAAACCAGACAACGAAAATAAAGGTGAGCAGAGAAACTTAATTTATGTTGCATTTCCAGGTCCATCAACTCCTCCTTCACTTCTTCGCTCAGAACTGCGAAGTCCGGTGGTTGTGCGAAGCATGTCTTTGCAACATTCACCAGACATGTCGACTATATTAAGTTCTCCTGCATCTTTGTCGTCTATCGATGCGCAGAATCACCTTAGTCGAACAGCACATTTGGGTGTCAAGCAGTCTTCCACTGCTGATCGTCGTCTGGAATCTCATATGCCATCCGGATCAAAGGTGAGCGATGTTGCTGAATGTCAGCAGGATGAAGAGGAGACTCAACCAGAGATTAAGAGGGGTATGCGCAGTGAAAGTGGTCCTTCTGTTGTCTTCTCCATCTTCCGTCACCCGCTAGTTATCAGAGTCTCTCCATTTAAATGTTTAACGTCTCTGATATCGGTAAACAATGAAGTATCTTGAAGTATCCAGCAATTTAATCACTTGTGGACCAACCTCTAGTGACACTAAATTTGCCGGTGGGAAATGTTGAGTCATTTAATTTTTCTTCTCGCTTCTTGGGCTTATATGTATTCAGACTCGTCTCTTCCATTCTTGATACCAGTAGTCTTGTTCCAAAGGACCGATAGGCATACATCATGCGATTTCATAGCCCCGCGACTCTCCCAGCACGACAGCTGTTACAAGTCCATTGCTTGCTGGTCATCTTGCATTTCGATTGTGATGGTTATTCGCGATTAGTTGTGTCGGAAAACTACCAATATCGAAATGCAATTCGATTGGTATACAATGAACTGGTATCGGCTGTCTTGTCGAGAGAAGCGCGAGGTGTGAAGTGGCGTGATGCATGCCCGGCTCTTAAGTGGTTATATTGGGAGGTCCTTAGAGTTTCCTTGGCAGAAAATTAGTTTATACCGAAGTCTGTCGCGTTATTTATAACGAAGGAACCTCTACTGGACACAAACAACAAGGAGTGATCAAGTATCGTAGACTTTAATTTGCCTCGATTGGCTTCCGAATGCTCAAGGGCTCAAGAACTTATCTATATCCTATATGGGAAGGGGTTCCTGTACAGGTCACAGCCGGTATACGCGCGGGCACTGATGCTCGCAGCACAAGAAGCGAAGCTGGTGATGGGGCCCCAGTCTGTTTGAAGATATGGTCCGATCTGGCACGGCAGGTGCCGAACGTGTCGGATATCGACACCTACTGCCCAATAGGGCCACGCGCCCCAAATTCTCACATAACATGGGATGGCGCTTTCGTTTGTCCGAGCACTTCTCAATAATGGCCCGAATAGCGAGATGGAGATTGATAAATACCACCCCGGAGGTGTTTTTCAGTCAGTGGTAGACTTGAACACCGGAAGCGGGAGGGGAAGTAAGGTTGCATGAGGAGAGAGCAGCATTCATGTCTCCCAAGTACCACCAGCCAGCCTATTCAGTTCTGTTTAGGAGAACAAACTCTTCATACCTCCGTCAGCTCCAAAAGAGGAATGGACGTCCTCACTTAGCTCAAGCCTGAGATCAACGACGAATGCGGTTACGGGTTCCACTCTCATGCAGAACAGGTCGGCGCCAGCTACTGCTGAAGTCCGGTCCAGTGACAGTGAGAATCCGTGGAAGGTGGATTTCGTTTGTTAAGATAGTAAATGGTTTTTCCTTTTTTAAGAATTCTATGACAATCTCGAGATCTTATAGTTTCAGCTCAACGAGCTGAGTAATTCTGGCATGTATTCACAACCAGCCTCTTATAATGTTGGTTCACATATGAATGATGATTCTGGGCAATCTTCATCATCGCTTGAACTTATGAACATGGGAGCAGGTTTGTGACCAGCAGCCCACCCACTTATCGCAGCTGATTTCCACTTTTTAGGTGCTTCCGATAAATCTGAGCTAAAAGAAGAGCCAATACTGATGAGTGCTCCATCGAGTGTAAAGCCGGGTCGCGGAGGCAGCCGGCAGGTGCGTATAAGTGGTAATAAATGGGCTGTTGTGATATTAAAGAGTTTTTTTAGGTGCAAGCCGATTCAACATTACATCCTGAAGAGCGAAAGCGGATTCTTCATCTTCACGCAGAGCAAAACCGGCGCAGTGCGCTGAAGGATGGCTTTGACATGCTAATGGACATGGTAAATAGTATTTGTTTGGTCATATTCGTTTTTATTTTCTTTGCCACTTCCATTTTTTACGTTCAGATTCCTGATTTACATTCTGGTGGTGTAAAACCAACTAACGCGGTCGTCTTGGCCAAAGGAGCCGAGCACATTCGTCACTTGACGGCTGTAAGAGATGATCAAGTCGCACAAAGAGCTGCCCTCAATGAAAAGATTGCTAGGCTTAATCAAAGAATAAGGTAAGGTTTCCATACGTTTTGAGCCAAGTTCTATTTTTTGCAGCATTAATTTGTTATAAACTTGGTCCCTCTTTGTTTAAAAAAAACTTGTATAAGTATGCCCGACTATTGTAGTGTGCTTCAATCAAACTTGCCGTCCTCTAGCGGTACAACGAGTTCAAAGTTGGAGCCGCGTGCTGCTCTGGAGGCTTTTTATGATCGATACACGAAAGAGTCGAGTCGAAAGGACTATCGGTTCTGGGTGGTATGTAATCTTTTCATTTATGGGGTGGATCGAGTTTATGGTATGTCATAGATGGCTCGCTTGCTACGTCCCATTGCGGTTGGAGAAAGTTCTTCGTTTGCAGCCATGATTGCACCTGAAGGCTCCTCAAGGGAAGAGGTCAGTCTTTTTAGTTTTTTGCTTATATGACGGAATATCAGTACATAATACCTAGGTTGCTGCTTCCTGTTCTGAATGGTTGAATAGCCATTGGCGAGCAGCTGAGTTGAGACCGCTTGCTAGTACTTTACTGGTGAGTGCACTTTGCGGGTTTTTTATGTAGTTTATGACAGAGAGCGTTTTCATGGGAAAAGTCAGCTCTATTTATTTTTTAAGACCTTAGTTAATCATCTGCTTAGCTAGTGTGTAAACAGGAGGTTGGAGCCTTGACTAATCTTATTTGAAGAGGGGTTTTGCTCGTTTTTTTAGCGCAGAAATGATAGATCTTTTCGGATTGACGATTCACCCTAAGCTTTGTGAGGTCTCTTCGGAGACGGTGTCGAGACAAAACTAAGTTGCTGACATTCTATGGCTTACGGTGGTGTGATCCCAGGATTTTTGTGCGGAGGGGGGGGGGAAAGGGGGGAGATTTTCGACTTTGCATGATAGTCACGCAATCCGAATTTTTGCGGTTCCTTTCCCAGAATTGCAGGAGTGGAGGTAGTGCAGCTATTCTTCCGAAGAGAAATTTTTAGACTGATTTGAATCCAAAAAATTCTTATAATTATTCACAAGTAAAACAAGTAAACATTCGCACAATTTCAAAACTCATGTAATTTCACAAAAATTCTGGGATGGAAGACGTTACGTCGCCAGTAACTTATGTGCGATGATACAAATATGCATTTTGCACATCTTTAGATCACGTGTTTAGCTCTCAATTGCATTTTGGACAATAGACAATAATCTTATGGTGAGCAAGCTAGTGATTGTTCACAATTTTTTCCTTCAGGTTCACCTTGCCACCACTGCTGGTGTTCTTACCAATCCTGAAAGCTTGGAAGAGCATGTTCGTGAGCAGCTCAACAACCCGATTGCTTAGCACCTTGTTTATATTTTGTATCCGTTCTAGTGTTCGACAAACTTTACTGATCTGTCACTCTACCTTTTGTTTACACTTATTTCATGATTCCATGGAATTTCATTCCATGACGTTATGGTGCTAAGTTTGTGTGTAGCTAGCTGTTAGTGTTGTTAGTGTTTAGCCGTTAAGAAATGATTCGTACGCCAATGAGCACGCTGGAACGATGCTCGTATAACTTAAAAGATAATATCTGTTTTCATTTGAGACCAGTGCAAATTACAGCGTAACCTTATGCAGGGCAAAAATAATCGACTTATTTTGAAAATCTGATCCATTTTTTGTTTTATCTTTGTTTCCATTTTTGACTCCAAGTGGATGTATCATTGAATGGTGATCATCCGCTCAAGCAGAGCACAAGTGCAATGCTTTCTGTTATATGTACATACATGCTCTCTCTATCTTATTTTTCTATATGGCGTCGTGATGCTCATCGTTTGTGCCAAATGTATTTTTCGTGTCTGCATCGGTGTTGTGTGCCATTTGCATTTATACCGTTCGAGCTTTATCTTTGCTCGATTCCCATGACTAACTTGCCTGCGATTATTTGTTAGTAATAGTTAAGCTGTATATACAGAGATTTTCTCATTTGCTCAAGCCTCACAAATTTCTATCTTCATAATTTATGCGGATAAATTCTATGCCATCTCTTCTTTTTTTTTCAAGTTTATAATATCACAATTCTCACCTTGCAGAATGGAAATAAGCCGTTGATTCACTTCATAGAGTAGTAGGGAAGGGCAGGAACGGGTGAAGGGAGGGGGGGGGGGGGAAGTAACAGGCAGGAGACTGACGACACCGACTTTCTGTTGAGAAGCTGTTATTTTCAAAAGTGCCAAAAAATCACTTTTTTAGTAAAGGTTTTCGCCAAGAAATCAGTTACTTAGGAAAATTGATTTTTAGGGGTTTCTTTTGCTCAAAAAAAAAACTTTCCATAGGAAAGTTCGATTAGCACAAACTTTGCCCACTTAGAAGGAAAAGGTGAAAGTATTTGTGGCACTAACTACCCAGTTTTTGAAATTTTGACGAGAGTGCCTCAAATCGCTAAGCCCCAAATGATCTTATTTTTCCATTTTTATCTTCGTCGGAGCCTAGTGGTAAGCAGGCAACATGTCATAAGAAGTATATGCTTTACACGATCCAATAGTACTTTTGCAGTGCAACTTGTGCGGGAGGAAGTGGTAGTGCAAACGAACTTTTGGTTCAATCTGATATGTCCATGATTCTGATCATTTTTGAAATCCTTCACTATAACATGCTTAGCAAATAATTTATGTATGTATATCTGACATAAAAGACGAAGGAATTGTCATAAATAATTTGTGTTTGTAGTATTGTCTGGATAAGCTAAAAGGGCAGTCTGATTTCCCCTTTTGGTGGTGCTCGAGCGCTTCGATACGAGCCAATACGGCCGAGCCGAGGCCCTGTTTTAGGAAGAGACGCGGCCCACTACGGGCCGAGTCGCGACTCATTTCGGCCGGCTCGCGGGAGTTGCGGTCGCTCAACAGGGACTCATCCTTATATTCATACTGCAAAGTCCGACGAAATGTTTTTGTGTCGGGTCATCTTTGCAAGACTGCGCTCAAGCGCACTGTGGGGGTCTGTAAAGCTTTCGACGTGGCTACAGTGTTAGCTCAAGTCTCAGCTGCCTAACACTGTGCCGGGAGCCGAACAGATGGGTGAGAAGATCAGGGCCCTTCTGTTTGTCGGTGGCTTCCCTCAAATACTGATCTCCAACTCTTCACTTCGTTGAGTTCTTCGACATCGTCTTCTCCGCCTTGGTGATACTGCTCGAAAAGAGAACGATGTCACCAGCAAAACGATTCGAAAGGTATCTCCCATCACTCAATAACTTTCTTCTCCAATGACTTCATCACCCACTGCAAGGCCGCGGTGAACAACTTCGGCGAAATGAGTTTCCCTGTCAAACTCTCTTCCTAAGTGGGTGGGGTGAGAGGCGATGGAATAGCCGCATTTCGTTGTACAATCCTTAGCATTCTCTAATGTCCTCATTTAAGCCATGTCCACTTTTTGATCGACTAGCGCTAACAGAATGGCGCTGTCGAATCACTTTCTCGATGTCGACGAAGGGAGGGACAAGAGGTAGTTGGTGCTTCCGGCAGACTTCTATTACCCTCGAAACCGCCTATATGTGGCCCCATCTGAATGCTTTGCAAAACCCAGCTTGTTCTTGAGGCTGGGCTTCAACCATATCCTTGATATGAAAGTGGGGATGACTCTGAAAAGCCTGTACAGCACACTTAGCAAGCATACGGGACCGTACTTCCAGAGATCCTCCCGTTCGCCCTGAACTGAAGAGTGGTTCTTGAAGTTCATTGGTCGGAAATCCTCCTTTTGAAGGTAGGATATCAGATGTGACGCCAGAACCTGTGTAGGGTGATGATGCCCTCCGGCTAGCAAAAGCTCGACAGAAAGATGATCTGGTGAGGTCGTGAGCGTCTTTATGGTCTGGATCGTGGTGCGCAGTTTAGCAGCTAGGTGGTACTTTGGTGATACTTCTCCAGTGAACAATAGGCGTAGGCGCGGGAGTTGACGAGTGGAAGAATTTGTAAAAGTTCAACTGGTTTCATCCCATGTCGAGACGAAGTCGAAGTCCCGCCTTTGTCCACCAGTGCTACCAGCGATAGTGACAGTCAGAGGACACTTCTCAAGACTTCGTCTTCCTTAGATATCAAGTGTCTTTGCTTGCCTGTACTTTCGAAGATCCTCCTGCAAAGCTATTCTGCAATTGACGTTATCTTTCGCTTGATGTGAGCTGCATTCGGTCATGCCCCACGGCTCTTATCCTTACGAGCAATGCCTTAGTGTTCATCGAGAAACGTTCCAGGTTCTTTTTAGAAGTCACTGAGGCGCACTCTCCGCAGGCTCGCAATCCTTTTAGAAGTCGGTCGTAGTCGTACGTCGGGTTCTCCTCGATGGGCCAGTCACTTGATATGAATTCCTCCAGCCTGTTACCGTCATAAAGACTTCTTTCTTTCTTGCGGCACTGTAGCAGACTTTCCTCTTCAGCTTCAACTGAATCGTAGTTTCGCTCGAAGGAGGCGGTGATCGAACCCACTGCTGAAGAATGGAACTACTGAGACATGAGCAACTGCACCATGGTGAGAATAGTGAGAATCTGGTCGATCGTTGGGGTCGTTCCGTCAGGCGATGCGTTGTTCCTTCTTTTTAGAAATGGAATTTTATGGAAGAGTCGTGTGACAGAAAGAAGCTCCCGTTTATAGGAAAGTCGTGCGGCGGAGGAAACCCCTACGTCTCCGTTTCCGTTTCGTAGCCCATATTCGAACCTCCCCATCCTACATTTTGCCTTCTAAATGGCATCCCGATCTTTGCGTCACCCACAAAAAACTTGTAGAAGGATTCTCGTTGCGCGGACGAACTCTTACGTGTCTTCCTAGAAATCATCCAGCTCTGTTTTGTCAGCTGCTTATACTGAAGAGTAGCAGTAGCAGTATGCCGATGATCTACTGACGTGGGGGTGTAGATGTAGAATAGCTAACTGACGTGATAGGATCTCATACGCAATAATAAGATGGACAGTAGGTGGATGTACGACGAAGCCAACACCTCCAACATTTTGTGATGAAACTTTCTCACCACGAATAGTGTGTGTCCCATCACTCACCTGTCGCACGGCCTTCTTCCTTGACTGTGTTTTCTGCAGAGCGATGACGTAGTACTTGATGTGCTCTGCAGCGTCGAGAAGAGCTGGAGGTCGAGGTCTGTGGAGGCTATTGTGGCGTTGTAGATGCTGAACATGAGGCGTTCTTCATGATGTCTTGCTTGAGCAGGTCGTTTCTGTGCGATCCAGATGGCGCCCTGAACACTCTGACGTTCTTGTTATCACCTGGCGCCGTAGATGGAAATCAGTGTGCAGGGTTTTTTTCTTTTCTTCTTCTCGCTAAACAGGTAAGAGACTTGTTCGATAAAAGCAGGCTAAACAGACCTTGCTGTTGCCTTCTAGGGACGACGATCCTGGTACTTGGAGCGGACCGACAATGATGCTTACCAACAGCCAGACGGCGGAGAAGCCTGGAAGGCTTTATCACAGTATACATTCGGCTGTACATTGCAGTTCGACGCCCATTATCACCAACGCTACGTTGAGGCCGCAGGCCGTAGTGGACTTTATGTGATAGTGATGGCCAATTTGGCTGCGATCTTTGCGCTGTCCAAACTTCATAAGAGCATATAAACTCAAACAAAAGAAATGGTTTCAAAGCTCAGGTCGGCAGACTTCATTAATCCGGCAGCACACGAGTTCAGCGCAAAAACACTCTACTAATGTTGCGTTTACATCATCGAAACATCATTTTCGATGGAGCTTATTCGAAATGAAGGACTTGTATAGCGCCAGCGAGAGTCATTGGCGCCATTCGTCCACATTACATGGGACTTCTTCAGCAAAATGCAGACTGGTAAAGAAAAAGGATAAAACCATGAATCTTCACAGGAGAAAAAGCGTTGAGAATGCTGCTCTAGTTTTTCCGTATTCCTCTAAAAAGGCGAAGTACGCGGCCATAATGCGAATGGTAACTGTCGGGACGCAGCTATTACCCAACAGCTGCTCGCGATGGAGGTTGGCCTAAGATAACGAATCTCTGGCAGTGACGTCCGCCCGCCGTCAGGAGACGGTTCCCTCTTCCCCTTTCCCCCTTTCCCCTTTTGTATATAACTTGTACAATAAACATTATAGTAAGACTAATGTAACCCTCTACACATCAGGTAAAGGACTCGCGAACCTTTATCCTGACATGGAAGTCCCAGGGAGATATTTTTTTAGAATTCTTAGATGTGATTTTATTCTAAAGAACTTTTGAAAAAGAAGAAAATTTTCTAATTCCCCCCCCTCCCTCCTCTTCTACAACCCTCCGATGGTATGGAAGGAGTCGCTCACCAATGAATGAGAGAGAGTGTGTGAGTTCTATACTATTCTATTTACATATTTATCAACAATTACACAAGTATTTATTCATTTCAGAAAAAATAAAATAAAAATATACAGTCCTGCGAACAGTCCCATTATGTCAATTTTCGCTTAATAAATTACCGGAATCCGTGAAAATCTAGATTAAATAGCGCGAGCCGTGAGTCCGTGAATGCCGTGATTTTTTGGAAAAAAGCTTATCCGTGACTTTTTTGGTAAAAATACATGTCCGTGATTCCGTGATCCGTGAGCCGTGATCCGTGAATATCTAGATAAAATACCGCGAGCCGTGATTTATTTTTTTGCAACCGTGATCCGTGATTTTCAATTGATTTTTTTTCTTCCTCAATAAGACAATGGACTTGTTCGCAACCGCTAGCAAAATTCAGATCTGTGTCAATTGCTTCGATCCAGCTAGCTACTGGCCCATGTACAGAAAGCCTCTTATGGGATAAGTCGATCAATTAGAGTCGCTAGTGATATAGCGCAAATGCTGTGTTGACCTTCTAGGCATTATAACAAACGAGTGCAACTGTCCGAGCGTGTCGACCTTTTCTGGTGATAAAGTAGCGCAGCAGCTTGTCAGTGGTGTAAGCATTTGACCTCGCCGCAGACTAATAATATTTGCGCGCCACGGTCTAGCAAATGCATTAATTGCGCATACTGACCTTTTATGATTGTGATAAGCGTTTAGCAACAACAATCGTGACCGTTATCTGCCGCAACGTCTACTCTTAAGTAATCTGGTTTAATACACTAGTTACCTAGGGGGCATTACTATCTCAAGTCGTACAAATAAGCATCCATCTGAAAAAGATAGTAACAATGATGATCTTCAGATCAACGAAACTACTTTTTGAAAAAAAAAACTTATTTTTCCAACTTTTGAGAAAGTATCATTCTGCTTCTGTCATCCATGATGGCGATTAGGTCCCTATAAAGGTCCTTTACTATTCGCATCAAATTTGTTTCTGGCATAACTCCAAATAGCGACCGTACCGTGTCCCACTGGAAGAAAGAAATGAAATATAGCTCCAAATTGATAGAATTTTAAGGAACGTTCAATCGAACCTTGCAGCAAGTTGACTTCCCTCATAGGCTTTTGTAAAGAAAGGATTTAATAAAGATCAATGATTTCTTTTACTGGTTTTCTCTTCCATTCACAAAACTTTGAAATAAAGTTAACCTCTCAAATGCGCATTCTTTTTCAAACTGGAGTGCAACATTTGGATGTACAATGCAGAAAGGGTACACGCCCTAACCACAAAAAGAAAGGTCGAGAGTATAGCTAATATAATTCCGCGCCCCAAAGACAGTAAAGCGCTAAAATCATTCTTAGGTCCCATCGTACTTTCGAAGATTCACGCACGTTTTGCCTTAATTGCCATCCATTAACCACTCTTCCCAAAAATGTTGAGTTTATTTGGAAGGAGGAACATCAGCATTTGAAACATTAAAACAAGCCCTAGTGGATGCGCGTGTTTTAGTGCTCCTATTTTAGGAAATTTTCAAACATCCACACCGACGATGCATCTGCACTCGGTTTCGTCGCATGCCTCCTACAAGTCTAACCGGTGGCTAGTAGTGAATTTCATCTTAAAAAAAAAGGCATCCGCTTTCTTACCAAGCACGAAAAAAAAAGATGATGTGGTATTAGAAGCACTAACACTTGTTGTTAACAGCATAATCACCTCTGTTACAGCTTCTATCACTTTAGTCATTGATGATGCTGAATTAAAAACCTCAAGCATCCGTCAGATTCCGTGCCCGCCATGCTAGCCAAAAGAGAATACTCATTCGCTTTGTCGAGTTAACCATGACGATTCTGTTAGCCTCAACCATAAGGAACAGTTAGCATGACTCAAAAGTGAGGAGATTTCTTGTTGCTGTAAGGCGAAAAACATGCCAATAGCTTTTTGTCCGCAGAATCCAAGATAGTCACAAAAATGCGCTTCAAACCCTACTGAAGTAGATACATTATTACAAAAAAAACCTGCTTTACTGTATGCTATGCACAAGCTGTTGGCTTGCCAATAACTGGCTACAAACGATTTTCTCTACAACCTAGTGGAACACGCACAAATTGTGTGAACTAAGCCATAGAGTAGACCCGTACAGACATAGTTTTTTTTCCAAAGAAGAAATCAGAAGAAGATTGCTACAATTTAAATTTCCAAAAAAAATCCCCAAATCAAATTTTGTTCATAACATCTGCTTTTTGCCTTTCGAGATAATCAATTTCTCTGCATATTGCAAAGTGCGAGCCACAACTCATACTCTTCACACTGCCAAGATAATGCAGAAATTTTAGCGACCTTCTCCACCGTACTAGAAATTAGTATTATAAAGCTCTGTAGTAATAGAAAATATATTATATATGTTTTCACAGGACATTTCCGTGAATGTTTTTTTTATATCAAACAATCTCTCGGAAAATTCGAACCTTTGTAACATTAAAAATCATCCTCCATTTACTCGGAGTCATAAGTAAACTTATTGCAAAAGAGTTCCCTTGGAATCGTGATTGAAAGTGATTTTTTTTGAATCAGATCGTATTCATCCCAAGTAACACAGAATTTGTACAACGCCCCAAATTAACCGCTAAGTTTCCGCTTCAAAAAAAAAACCCACTCTGTGTTAAGAAACAGATTGTTTCAATTCCGAGATTTGCTAAACGTTAGTTTGTTACAAATTACATAGCTCATAGACTGATCTAATAACTTCTGAAAAAAAGACATGTGAACAAACTAAGGCTGATCAAAATAAGTTCTAAATATTAGGTTGTTACATAAGTCTTGTTACACTTTACTTCTTACGGCGATAAGTCATGCTCCTCATATTCTTTACAGGGCTTCAGGGTACCTTTCGATAGAGCAAAGCAAGCTCTACAAAACAGTGTGCAAAAGTTCGCACCAATTGCGACCCACTATAAGTTTGCGTCCAAAATTTGAGTCGTATTAAAGGCTTAAAAAAAGTGAAAAATTCATATCTTCGCTCAAAAGAACTCTACAAATTTCCAACTTGCTCATAAAAATTGTACACTATATCAGACACTTACAGTACCGTTGCTGTATTTTTTCCTTATCTAGAAATCGAGAAAACGAAAATTTTCTTGTTTTTACAAAAACGAAGCTATGCTATTTCTATTTATGTAGCTGTATACTACAAGCCCTTAGAAGTATAACCGTAAATTTTCAGCTTTCTAGAAGCCCTAGTTTTCGAAAATTACCTAATTTAGCGTTGAATATCCGAGTGAAAAAAGCTAAATTCGGTATTTTTCGAAAACTAGTGCTTCTGGATAGCTGAAAATTTACGGTTATACTTCTAAAGGCTTGTAGTATACAGCTACATAAATAGAAACAGCATAGCTTCGTTTTTGTAAAAACAAGAAAATTTTCGTTTTCTCGATTTCTAGATAAGGAAAAAATACAGCAACGGTACATGTAAGTGTCTGATATAGTGTACAATTTTTATGAGCAAGCTGGAAATTTATAGAATTCTTTTGAGCGAAGATATGAATTTCCCACGTTTTTTAAGCCCTTAATACGACTCAAATTTTGGACGCAAACTTATAGTGGGTCGCAATTGTTGCGAATTTTTGCGCACTGTTTTGTAGAGCTTGCTTTGCTCTATCGAATGGTACCCTGACGCCCTGTAAAGAATATGAGGAGCATGACTTATCGCCGTAAGAAGTAAAGTGTAACAAGACTTATGTAACAACCTAATATATACTTCATTTTTTCTCGAGACCTAAAGTCCTCAATTGCGAGATCATCCCAAAGCAGTTATCCCTCGCCAACTGTTACCAGTTCACTTCGCAATTTTTTTTTCAGAACGTATTTGCCAGTCTTAGAAGGAATTCGCTTCAACCTGGTAGACGACTCAAGACAATTTTGATCATATTTCCTGCTCTAAATTCCAAATTCAAACTTTCAAAAAAAATTTTCTTTCGAATTTTTCAAAGACTCGGGGAAAATGTACGCTATTTTGTGCTGGAATTTATGGTTCTGAGCAAAACATAGTGTTGCTGAAATCTATGACAACTAAGGTACAAATATTTGATTTTTGCAGGAACATGCTGTTCTTTTTGCCAATTCAAAGTAGTAAGCTGATGAGTGTGTATTCTTCTTATAGCTGAAATTTCATATTCCCATTTTGGATTGTCTCGCAAGTTTTGCCACAACCAATTTCAGCAGCAGCCAACGCAAAAGTTTCCAAATACAAACGACATAATGCTCTAGATCTACTTAATTTACTCA